TTTCTTTGTTGACCCCAAAATGAAAGTTCTATAATCGTTTTTTCACCCTCCATAAGCCTTTTGTCGATACTCTAAACACAAGGGAAGATATTTTTAATGAAATCTGTCATTTTAGTCCCTTCTAAATGCACCCAAATCTATGTAAAAAGATCAAATAATAAATATGCAAACCAGATGGATTATTCCAACTATTCTGCCCACACAGTAGCTTTACATAATGAACACATGTAATTTTAACTTTTATTCACATTTAATCATATATCATCAAACATAAACAGAATGTCGGTCAAACCTGCTCAATGACCAAGAACAAATCTCATTGGTTCTCACATGTCAAGCAAGCATGATCGAGGCTCTGTGACCAAATTTAAATTTTGTAAACATTGTTAACTAATCTGTAAATAAAAACCCAAAATAAATCTGTTCATTATATAACACTTTTTTTCTCAGTCACTTTGATACATTTCTTAAGCATTTCTCAACACCACATACAATTAGTAAACCACCATGAGTTACCTGCAAAAGTCAGTCTCTTGCTCAAAATCCTTAGTTCATTTCTCAAAAACAAAATATCTGTGTCAATGAACATATCAATGCCATCAGAATGACAAGTCCTTGATCATTGTGTGCTGATAAGGCAGTCAAATTGCTTATGTTTTCAATATAACCGTGTACTCTGCTTTTTTTTTGGGATGTGCGCAAGTGACATGATGATGAAGATTGAACAGGTAGTTTCAATTCTTCTCTGAGAAATGTACCAAAGTGACTGTGACTTCTATTAAGACTTATAGAAAACTTATATTACTTTATTCATATTGTTTATTCAGAGAGAGTTTTATTTTTGACTTTCAAAAAGCATGCAATAAACATCTCAGCATGATTGGGGCATTACTGATAGCAACACTATTTGGCCAGATGCTATATGGATAGACAGGGAGAGCAATGCATATCCTTCGGGATAGTACAAGACACACACTGCTTCCCTTCTCCCGACCCCTTGTCCGGATACCCAACAAAGTCATCCAGGCTGACTTGGAGAAGTTTCCTTGAATAATTTCGGGAACAAAGAGATGCTCTCTCAGCCTGTCCCAGTCATTATCTGTGGCCATTGTGGCATTTGGTCTCAGTGAATGAGATCATTGAAGCGTTTTCCGCAAAGTGAAAAAGGACAGAGAGAAAGGGTTCAACTCTTAATTAAAACTGCTCGCTATAAAATTACAAGTCAAAAAGGTCAGAAGTTTGCCAACTATAAAAACAACTCTATTTGTATGTTTGATGTCGGTGTCTAAGGGTGTTTTCAAACCTACCTTATTGAGTTCAGTTGAATCGCACTAGAGTTCGTTTTCCCTCTTGGTGCGGTTCGTTTGGGCAGGTGTGAATGTAGCAATCGCACTCGAGTGAACACCAAAAGAAGAAGAGGTGTTCTCTGTATGCTTTAAAACGAACCCTGGAGCGGTCCATTTGTGGTGAGAACATGATCCGAACTAAAACAGAGTCGACCGCAAAAAGTACTGCGCCTTTTTGGAGGAATGCCAGCTGCCACAGTCCGATGAGCTGTCTGGCCAATGAGTGATGTAAATTTTGTCACATGACTGCATTTTGGTTCTTTTTCTACTGGTTTGAACCAAAGCAATCAGTGTGGTGTGAAAAGGACCCAAAACAGCAGAAAAATGCTATAGTGTACAACTGAAGTCAAAATTATTAGCCCCACTTTGATTTTTTTCTTTTTCTTTTTTAAATATTTCCCAAATGATGTTGAACAGAGCAAGGAAATTTTCACAGTATGTTTGATAATATTTTTTTCTTCTGGAGAAAGTCTTATTTGTTTTATTTCGACTAGAATAAAAGCAGTTTTACATCTTTTTAACACCATTTTTGGGTCAAAATTATTAGCCCCTTTAAGCTATTTCTTTTTTCTATAGTCTTTAGAGCAAACCATCGTTATACAGTAACTTACCCTAACTTGCCTAGTTAACCTAATTAACCTAGTAAAACCTTTAAATGTCACTTTAAGCTGTATAGAAGTGTCTTAAAAAATATCTAGTCAAATATTATTTACTGTCATCTTGGCAAAGATAAAATAAATCAGTTATTAGAAATGAGTTATTAAAACTATTATGTTTAGAAATGTGTTGAGAAAAAAAATCTTCTCTCTGTTAAACAGAAATTGGGGAAAGAAATAAGCAAGGGGCCAAAAATTCTGGGGGGCTAATAATTCTGATTTCAACTGTATCATTTGTTGCCCTTGATCCAGACCGAATGAACTGAACCACCGATGTGAAAGCACCCTAAAACTAGTGCACATCAGCACAGAGAGAAAACAAGACTGGAGAGTGCTCAATTTATAGCATCCATTTAGACAATCAATACTATTAAACCAGCAATAAACGGTTGCTCTTTTTACCAAATGAATTCATATCGTTTCAGTCATTGTGGTAAAATTTCTGACTTTCTGATCTATAAAAAGAGATTTCTGTGACTTACCTTGCAATGATCTCTCTGTGACGCTGCTCTCGCTGTGAAAGCACTTTCTCTTAAACTCAATTACCACATCTTCGCCAGACGGCCTCATGTATGACCTGCACTCAGCTGTAGAGCACTGCTTCCTCGGCTATCCCATCATGCCACTGGACAGTCCCTGCTGTGAGATCATGTTCAACCAATTGTTGAATACAAAGCTTAGTGTTCTTTAATTGGCTCAAGGTGCTCGTATCCGTGTCTGATGCAGCTGCAGTCTGGTGTTGTTTGTGTCTGATGGCTGCTGATGAATTGCATGGCCAATCGATTCTTCATTTGATGTCACTTTAAGGCATTTTGAGTTATTTTCTGTTTAGTTATTTGTCTCATTTCATTGCAGATGTTTCTGGTCAAGTGCAAGAAGCAGAGCTCAATCTTGCTGACGCACTCGAGATAGTATTTCCCTCTGCAGCTTTTATACAACCACAATCCTTAAATGTGTTGGCAGAATCATCGGCGAGGATCTCATCATGGACAAAATTACAGTTTATTATCCTGTGTACTCCTTTGCTTTATGATCATGGCTTTGTGAGATATTGGATCCTGGTGGTGAAGAATGGGAATGTAAATTATTATAAGAACGTGTAAAAATGTGTTTAATTACAAACATTAGATTGAGTGATTTGACTAATGTACTGGTTATCACTTGTCACATATTTGACTGTAGCAAACAAGCTTTTTGTGCTTTTTAAAGATGTATAATATGCATCTAAATATGGACATCATGGCTAAAGCCAGGCAAAATTTAAGCTGTCAGTGAACATCTAATAGAAAACTAACAATAGTGCAAAAATAGACCAGTATAAGTCAAATAGGCTTCACATGCAGCCATTTAAAGCTTATCTAAGCTTATTTTATACTTGTGGGGCTCCTATTTTGAAAACAGGACAGGTTTTAAAGAAAAGTAAGCAGTTCTGTGAAACCAGAGTCTCATCTGTTTACTGCTGTTTAACAAAAATTGAAATTAACAGTTAATTAGTATTTTGGAGTGGCACTGTGATTTGTAAATATTTTATTTATAAATATGCCTTTTCTTAACATGATCTTTAAAGTTGAGATAAAACAAAAATAGGCTTAACTCTAAATCATAAATCCAGAGAAACTGAGACTTTTAATAGTTACAAAAAGTATTTTATAACTTTTTTAGGAACCTCAAATAATAACTTCTAGTTGATCATTTGGTATCAGAAGTGGTTTGTATGACGGGTAAAGGCCTCTAGATTACACTTATTTTACCAAAATAAAATATGATCATGCCTTGATTTTTAAATGATTTAATTAGGACAGTAAGGTCTGACTTTGCTTAAACAAAAGTCTTGTCACCTAAAAGAAATGATGTACAGTGAAGAATATAAAGTCATGGTGCAGTGAAAAAAGAATGAATATTGTGTCTGACTCCCATGAGCTTGGATGACTGCATCCCTACATCTCTACAATGACTCAAATAACTTATTAATAAAGTCGTCTGGAAAGGCAATGAAAGTATTATTGCAGGAGTCAACATTTATTTGGATTCATCTTCAATGATTTCTCCTTCATATTACCCCAGGCATGCTCAATAATGTGCATCTCTGGTGACTGGGCTGGCCAATTCTTTAGCACCTTGACCTTCTTTGCTTTCAGGAACTTTGATGTGGAGGCTGAAGTATGAGGAGCGCTATCCTGCTGAAGAATTTGCCCTCTCCTGTGGTTTGTAATGGGCAGAGCAAATGTCTTGATAGTTCAGGCTGTCAATGTTGCCATCCACTCTGCGAATCTCTTGCAGGCCACCATACTGAATGTAACCCCAAACCATGAACCCCAAACCACCTATTTTTATTTATTTTTTTTGGTCATCATCCAATCTGACATTTATGTACATACAGCAATAGAATGAAACTTGATGAAGCAAATAACTTCAAAATCATTTTCCGATACTGCCATATAACAAACAGTGTTGCACATGCAATTTAAAGCCAGTGTCAGTCTGAAAAAGGTTGTTTAAAACAGCAATGAATACAGAGTGTTCCTTCGAGTGCAGTTGTTCTTGTCAGTGGAGTATTGTGTGTGTTCTTCCTCACATGCCTGAGACCATCCTGCTTCAAACTGTCTTTCCGCGATGTGCAAAATGTTCCTCTCGTGCTTTCTAAACAGACCCCTCCATAAATTCTGAAGCAATGTCATTTTACGGATGGTAGTCTCTTAAAAGCCTGTGAAGACAACTACCAGATTTTGTTTATCTCCACCCTAGCGTGGACGCATTTGAACATCAAAGGCCATCTTCTATCTGTCTCTGTTCAGCATGTCATCTGCAAGCAGTATTTAACTGAATGTTTTGAAAACGGCATACGTTTTGACTTTCTGAACGAGGTTACATCCTCAAGCAGATGCTAATTTGCCACAAAAGAAGCATTTCTGAGCTAAGAAAATACACGATGTGATGTTTTGTGCTATGTTGTCAGATGCAAAAAAAAAAAAAAAAAAAATACAAATATGAAGGCAAATAACATTGAAAACACGTGTTTACTGGGGGTCATGTCGCACAAAAGATGTACAAACACAGGGAAGCAAAACATGACTTGTTTTAAAGTGACTTGTTTCAAAATTTGTTTTGAATTGCTCTGTGAGGCAAAATAGAACTGAATATTTTTTAAAAATACCAAAACATTCTCATTTTAAGCTCTAATATGTTAAACAGTTTTACAAAACAGAATTTCTACAACTTCAGCCAGAACTGTCGTGATTTTGTGGTCGCATTGCGCCCTCTAGTGGACAACAACATACTTGCAACTGTCACTATAGATTCACCATTTAATATGAAAATCAGTAAAAAAGCTTGGTTAGGCAAAATGAACCAATAATTATAAATATTACACAGCGGTAAATAGTAATTAATTATAAAAGAGAGTTTATGTTAAATAAAATGGATGGAAAGTTTACCTAAATATGAAAATGTACTAATTTATTCACCCTCCAAACCCCTTTCTCCTTTCTGTTAAACAAAAAAAGAAGATAATTTGAAAGCTGGAAACTAATACGATGGAAATCAACGGCAAATACGTTCTTTTTTTGTTCGAAAAACACTTTTTGTGGTGAATAACACTTTATTTTGATGGTCCCTATTGCACATTTTGTTGACTAAAAGTTGCACTGAAACTTTATGCCAATTACTTCTTATTTGAGTATTAGTAGACTGTCTGCTTAATATCTGTTGATACTGCTCCTTCAACAGACATTTAACTGACTATAAAATACTTTGCCTATAACAATACCTAACCCTAACCCCAACCTAACAATCTACTTATAATCTATTGAAAATTAGTTGGCATGTAAATGTGATGTAACTTAAAATCAACAAAATGCATTAAAGGACCTATAAAAAAAAGTGATACCTTTTGGTGTCCTGTTGCTTTAATTGTATTCCAAAATAAAATCATAGCACCTTGAGAAATGTACTGTAAATCATAATGCTCATTCATAAGCCCCAAACCATTGAACCTGTCTGACATACAGGACTGCAGCTGCACCGTAAGACTTTCTTTGTTTGTTCAGTGAGCTCCACATTTCTCCACATTCATTTAGTCTTCTGTTTATGTTTTAATGCAGGGGCAGGAGGAGGTGCTGGGGCTGGGGGAGGTTTGGCCAGTGAAACCACAAGATCAACCCTTGGGGGAAAGTAAAAAATATATATAATAACAGCAAGTGGAATACAGAACATGTATGATAAAATACATCAGAAAGATTAAGTTTTGGCTGTTAGATTTAAAGGTTTATTTATTCATTTGTTTTCTTTTCGGCTTTGTGACTTTATTTATCAGGGGTTGCAACAACGGAATGAACTGCCAACTTATCCAGCATAGCGGATGTCCTTCCAGCCACAACCCAACACTGGGAAACATGCATACACTTTTGCATTTATACACATACACTCTGGCCATTTTAGCTTATTCGATTCACCTGTACCGCATGTCTTTGGACTGTGGGGGAAACCGGAGCACTCAGAGGAAACCCACACCAACAAGGTGAAAACAATTTAAAGGTTCAGTGAAATCACAACTGGCGAAGCAGTGGCGCAGTAGGTAGTGCTGTCGCCTCACAGCAAGAAGGTCGCTGAGTCGCTGGTTCTAACCATGGCTCAGTTGGCATTTCTGTGTGGAGTTTGCATGTTCTCCCTGCATTCGCGTGGGTTTCCTCCGGGTGCTCCGGTTTCCCCCACAGTCCGAAGACATGCGGTACAGGTAAATTGGGTAGGCTAAATTGTCCGTAGTTTATGAGTGTGTGTGTGAATGTGTGTGTGGATGTTTCCCAGCGATAGGTTGCCAGCTGGAAGCGCATCCGCTGCGTAAAAACTTGCTGGATAAGTTGGCAGTTTATTCCGCTGTGGCGACCCCGGATTAATAAAGGGACTAAGCCAACAAGAAAATGAATGAATGAATGAATGAAATCACAATTCAATTTTATTATTATTTATTATAGAATAATGCATGATTTACAGAGTGCAACAGTCAGGTTCAGAGTGTAAAAACTTCATTCATTTTCTCAACAGGGATATTAAATTATTTTTACAGTAACTGGGCAAACCGGTTTTGAGATCTAATTGATTGTTGACATTATCTGTGTTTAATGGCATATTTTGTGCAGAAAAACTACATTACCCATGAAGCTTTATACAGAACATTACACCAATCATAGAAGGCGAACTAAAAGTGATCTTCCTCTGAATGTACTGGATAGGTAATAGGTAATAATAGGTAATAGGTATGTATTTGAGTCAAATGTTAATATTTAATTGTTAATATTGTAAATTATCTAAGGTTAGACAACATTTCTTTCGAATTTCAATTAAAAATATTAATAATTTTGATTGGTCACAATAACAAATGTTTTCATTTGCTGAGATTGAAGATCGGTTATTTCACCAAATATTGATAGCTTAACTCTTCTGAAGTTAAAACATTAGTGTTGTGTTATATAAAATGAACATAAACATATGAAATATGGCAATATATGGTCTGAAAATATTTTGTACTTTGTTATTTATGCCAAAAATGATTTAAAACACAAAACTTCTATTATGCATTTGGAATAAAAGCAATGAGAAATGTACAAAATATAACAAATATGATGTTTAGTCAAAGTAGTCCAGAGAAACAAAGAATTTTGAGAAGTGGTCTCATTCAACATCCTTTTTTCATCAACAATATTTTCAACAACACTATTGCTTTTACCCAAACGATTACAAAATAGCAAAGTAAACCTTTTTTTGTTGTTAAATGAACTCTAAGTTTGAACAGTTTTCAGTATAATGCCAGAATGATAAATACTTACATTTCAGTGATTTTTTCCACAAGTAGTTGGACTGCTTTTATAATCTTGTCGATCCTCTCCTGTAAAAAAGTGAAAACAAGACATGACTGTCAAGTCACAAACAGTCTAAACCTGATAATACCTTTTTTTTCAAGAATTTGAATATAAACCAATGTGCAAAATCCAACTAAGGCACACAGCAAACACAGAACCTTCCGCTAATATTCTCATGTGGTTCCCCTTTGGGTTTTTTCTTCAGGGTAACCAAATAAGTACATTCTGTGAACATAATTTCTTTGCTGGGCACTTACCTGCTGGAGTTTATACAGCAATGGCAGAGAAAAAGCGCATATCACACCTGTCAACAGGTCAAACAATTATTTTACCTTAATAACAAAACACCAGTACTTAATAAAGAATGATCCACTTCACTGTGACAATGTTTTCAGTAAAATTATTAGCCATGATTTGTGTTGAACTTTACAAAATCAATGGGATATTCTTACCAGACATCACCAGCGTGAGACCGTTGGCTTGGACCCCCACATAGGTCAACAAATACAGGAATACAATAAACTACACAAACAAAAATACACAGTCATTGAGATAAAAACATTCTATTTCATTCTTACTTCAGACTCCCATCATATTTACATGCATTCATGTTTGAGTTGCTGTGAGAAGATCAACCATGCAAAATTCCCAATATGCTGTCTAAACCACAGGAAAATGCATAGAAGCTTCTAAATCATATTAGGAATGGCTTAGTAAGCTGGAAAATGTTAAATATTTTGACAAATTGACTTTAAAAGGTTATCTTCTGCTTAATTTGTTTTTTGTTACTCTATACATGTTATATCTTAAATTTCCTGTCTGCTGTATTAGTATAGGCCAAATCATGACGATAATTAAGCATTTTCAGCATATAATCATTAAAATATGCAAGTTTTGTTTGATTCAGTGGCATTGTTTACATTCTGCTCTCCATCATGGCCGACTAATGAGTCGTGAAAACAGTCTTTATATTGTACCAGGTCATATGCATTTATCCCAAATAAGAATTTCTTAACTTTCACACTGGCTTATATTCTCTCAACGCCTTTGTGAATGATTTAAATGACACTGTAAAAAAATGATATTACAAAAAGTTATGTCAACAAATGTTTTTGTTACTTTAACTTATTTTATTAAGTTAATCAGGTTTCAGCTACTTTTCAAAGCTACGTATCAAAATTCAAAATTTTTAGCCCTCCTGTGGATTTTTTTCTTTTTTAAACATCTCACAAATCATACTTTACAGAGTATGCCTAATAATATTTTTCTTCAAGAGAAAGTCCAGTTTGTTTTCATTTTAGCTAGAATAAAAGCAGTTTTAAATTTTCTAAAAATAAAAAATAATAAATAAAATATTTTAAGGTCAAAATTATTAGAGCCCTTAAGCAATTACTTTTTTCGATGGTTTCCACTGAATAAATCATTATCATACAATAACTTGCCTAATTACCCTAACCTGCCTAGTTAACCTAATAAACCTAGTTAAGTCTTTAAATTTCTGAAAACTAGTATTCTGAAAAAATATCTAGTAAAATATTATGTACTGTCATCATGTTATGATAAAAGAAATCAATTATTAGAGAATAATTAGTTATTAAACCTATTACGTTTGGGGAAAAAAATCATTTTTCCATTAAACAAAAATTGGGGGTAAAATATAAAAAGGGAGGGCTAATTATTCTGACTTCAACTGTAAGTTGAGATGACAAGAAAAGTAGATTTTTTAATGGCGTAACAGTTCAGGACTAATTACAAGGGCCAGACTTAATCTGTGGAATTTCTTTTTCCGCAGAACTTATTTTATTAGATTTATTCCGAATGATTTTGAGAGCTGAAAACGTCTTACAGAAATGTTCATTTAAGGTTTACAATGTAAATCTAAATAGAACCACTTTATATAAAAAAGGGATTCGTTGACATTACTTTTGAAAGGTTAGTTAACCTGTTTCTTTTAAAGCGATTAGTTGGCTTTACTTTAAAGTAAATGAACTATGTGCATAATTATTAAAATTAAGTTGTCAACTCAGGATTTTCAGGTAAAGTCAACTTTTTAAAGTAAAATAACTAATCACTAATCACAGTGCATTTGGTAGGTCTACAGTAGGTCTCTAATAACCTATACACCCGCTTAAAGATTGTATTGTACACAAATCATCTATTCATCCTCATCTATTTCTAGATTTTAAATCATCTATTTTTTCAGCAATATAACTGAAATAAATATATAAATGCTGAATAATTAAATTTATTCAACAGTTCTGTCTGGTTCTTGAATCTAAATGGCTTATCAATAAACTCACTACAGTTTACAAATATTGCAAATATACATATACATATTACCAAAATTAGACAACATAATGTACTTTTGAGACTATTTTAGGCAAGAATGTTTACATTGTAACTATGCAGTTTCATCCACAAGATGGCGACAGAGACCACAACATAAGCCCTTAGAGGAGGAAAAATCCAGCTACAGCTCATCAAATCATTATAAAACTGGTAAGTGACTTTCTAAGTCGATATCTCTCTTTTGTATGTTGTAGTGCTGTATTTATACCATATAATTGTGTGTTGAGTGTCAGATAGACTCACATATTTGAAGTGCATGTATTTTGTTTTGGCCACTCTTTGTATAACCTTAAGTTACTTTTTTGGTGGCAATCTGTTTGTTTCTGAGTCTCCTGCTTTTATTACTGCAGACTAGTTTAGTAAAACGAAAGAGAAGAAATGCCAACATTTGTTTGACATTTTTCCTTATCACAAACACAACAGTAATCTGTTGTGTTTGCGCTGCTTTTTGGGGGGGTTAATTATTGTGATATCTCAATTGCAACAGAGAAATATTGGGAAATCTCTGTAGACTGATAGCATTTCATTCCGTTCAGCCTCATAATCTTAAAATGTTTGCAAAATCTCCTGTTTTGTCATCACTTTATGCTAGACATTACACTAGAGAATCATTCAAATACTAGCTCTAAAATGATGTTGGTGAATTAGCAACGGTTTCTGCTGTTCTGATGTCAGCTGAAGATGTGAATGAATGAATGGCGGAAGAAAGTAGTTCCTTTTACAAAAGAGTTTTTAGACTCTCACATTTGATTTTCTTTTTTATATACACACAATTATGCCGTCAAACTGTTGTATAATCCCAATATCACGCTCGATGTGCAGTGTGATGTGGCTGTATATCGTCACTGGTGGGACACTAAGGCTTCCCACCAGTACCGAAATACAGCCATATTGCACAAAACTCTTGTGATATTGCTCATATATTTAAACACAATATGTACATAGAATGAACGATGGGCTCAAAAATCAGCACAGTTTTCAGCAGATTTCTGTGGACACAGATTCAGTGTGGGCCTACTAATTGCGTAAGCCAGAAGTCTCCCCTGATGTAGTGAAAGTAGGTCATAAATTGCAGTGCAAGTGTAAAAGCTGCTCTCTGTAGCTGAGGTGAGATATTTAAGGCATGTGAGAGACCTTCACTGAGTCCATGATGCTGTCGATGAAGAACAGCCTCTTCAGCTCACTGACAGCCGTTGCAATCAGCAGAACCATTTGTTCCGCCATGCGAACTGTGTCCTCGTCTGTCAGCGTGTGGTCCTCATCCAAATATGACCTTTTTAATAAAGAAAATTGGACCAGCTGAGAAAGATTACATGTATTAATCCAGACTTATGTGAGTTGCTTTTTCCCTACGTCAAGCTCCTGCCAAAGGTTTAATATTTGCTGTAAATCTGAAAATCACATCTGGTATGCATCTCAAGAATTTATATTTTAACTCCGCATTAACTTGATAGATCAAAATAAACTTCTGCATTATAACTAGTTTTTTAATTATTTTTATTTTTTTGCGAAAGCACGAAAATCAGAAAATAATAAAACCTGTGTTATTGCATAAAATTATTATTTGAAATATATTTGTCTCTGATTGATTGATTCTGCCTTGTCATCACAGAACGATGAAAAGATGACAGTATTTCACAGTGCCAATTATTATTACATTATCAATATTTTTATAATTTTAGATTATTATACAGTATGTTATCTTATTTTTATTAAAATTCAAAGGATGGATGGTTTAATAGCACTCATAAACTATATACTGTTGCATATGTGTTGATTAAAATTTTTCATCAGTCAAAACATTTCTAATTTTGTTCGGCTGCAATGTTAGCTGGATGCATTTGTCCATGTAATGTATTTTCTTAAAGGATTTTAATAAATTGTTTGTTCAATTGTAAAATTATTCGAAAAACTGTGGCTCTCTGTTTTTGCAAAAGAACTTTTCATTTCAATTATATCATACAAGTTGCATTTTTAATAAAAATGGTTACATTTAAAGGTGCAGTATGTAAGTTTGACAGTGTTTGGACTAGGTGTTGCACTCCTGGATCAAAACACACGCAAGCGCAGGTAGCCAGATTGACATGAGTATACCTGAATATTAAGCCTAAAGGCTTATTTGAACCATTTTCTAACTAAAAGCAACGACACACAATAGAAGAAATATTTTTCATGCTAAAAAGAGTTTTTGTCCTAACCAACACCTAATATGTATTATATTTTAGAAACGGCTTCTATTCTCACAGGTGAACAACATGATGAACTATAATCACCTCAGGTACACCTCATGTGCTTTAATCAGGGTTAATTAATATATAAATAATAATAATAAATAATAATAAATAATGTGAGTTTAAATGACATTTTACATGACATTCATTGTCATACTACTGAAAACAGCTGCAGATAGTTCACCTCAGATCTTGAAAATAAAATAAAGCGTTTGATATTGAACTAAAGAACTGTGACTGTGCAACAAAAGCAACAAAACAAATAGCAATCAATCAGGATATACATATAATGATATTAAAGAAGTTTAATGTTTATTAATTAGTTAGAACACTGTGAAACATCGTGGAATACTGATCACTTATTCACACTAGCAGCGACTTTGTAGCTGTCTATTGCTCTGGATGCCGACCTGCTGCAAACAGCACGAATACAACCAGCCTCTGAGCAAGCAGAGAGTGGATCACGTGAGCTCTACTGGTGCTTCTATTGGCTGTCGCTCAAGAAAGTCGCTCTTCATTTGCATAAAGTTAAAGGATTCTCAACTTTGTCGCATCGCTCGACAAGCCCACCTGGTTGCTGTCGCTCGTATAGACGGAGGTCGCTGGATGCAGCTCGCTCTCCGTTGAAATAAACGGTCACTTGACACTTTGCCGTTGCAAAAAAAAAAAAAAAAAAGTCGCTCATAGTGTGAATGAGGGTTGAATTTGTGTCTTATTTCGGAGTCTGATACTGTCTACCAGATGTCACATTTCAGCGGTGAATGCATACTATGAGGGCCTTCATGACTGAATGAATCAAATGAACAGTTTTCCAGCAAGGCAACCCGGGGTGCAGAAATATAATTGGCTAAATTGGGCAGGTTAAAATAACCAAAACAAAGACAGCCATTCTGACACAAAAAGCACATTTTCAAAGGAAAACATTTGACTTTAGCATTGTTTTTCAGATAAACAAGAAAGTTCACTTAGCATGTTTCTTAAATGTCTGCAAATATATTATAGCATTTTAATGCTTTAGCAGAGTCAAAAATATACATACAACACCTTTAAGACATAGAAATAGCGGTTACTTATTGTGTTTTTCCTTCATCAATGAAAATAAAGTCACTGCTGAATCTTCAAATCTCTTTGAGTATTACATTTGAAAACTAGATCAATCCTAAATAATATTAAAAATTATAACTAGTATTTCCCAAATCGTAATATGTTTAAATGAGTGTGTCAATGGTGAGTGGATGTTGTATACTCTTCCAGGTCAAAATTCTAAGCAGACCAACAGATCAATCCACATTCTAAAGGTTAATGTTTCTTTACCATTTGAAAGAAGAATTAGTTAAGGAAAAACATGCCTAAATTTGGCTTATAAGAAAGAATGATTATTAAAAGAATAGTTCACCCAAATTGAAAATTTTACATGCTATTTACTAAAGTGGTTCTAAATTTTCAACCTTCTGTTGAACGCAAAACAAGATATTCTGAAAAATGTTGGAAAGACGCAGCCGTTTACATCCATACCAACAAAACTATTTTGGAATTATGGAAGCTGCAACCTCTATTTTTTCTTATTGTGATGCAAAAACAAAATTTTAAATGTTTACTGCAAGATGAATGGATGTAGTAAAGTAGGCATTTCATTTAAAAAGATAGGGAAAGGGTTTGCGGAGAATTATTACAACCTAACAGACACCTCCTGTCCACGATTTCTGTTTGTTGTCAAAACTGACAGTTTTGAGCAGCAGTGCGATGAAATATGTTAGTCACACCCAATTCCTAAAATATACGTAATCGGACCATTTAACTGAAAACAAACAGGAAGTGGATTTTCAGGAGTCAATTAAAGATTAGAAGGGCTAACGTTTTTTTTCAATGACATGCACAGATTTTATGTTCACAACAAAAATAACAATGTGGGCTAACAGAATCACGCTTAGTTTTGATTTCTTTGGAACTTTAAGAAGAGATATAGGCAGATAAAGGGAGTTCATTCTATTTTAAAAACATTCAAATATATGTACTTTTGCTTCACAAAAAAAGATTACATACTTTGAGGGAAGTTGGACAACTAAAATGTTGCAAAAGGGTTTTTGAAACAACCATTTCAGTGATTTAAATGCACAAAAAGCCAGAAACAACAACAACAAAACATCTTACAGAAAATAAAAGTGAAGTGGGAGAAACTATTCCTGTTGTTACAGTTACCTTAATTCAAAATATAAACAAACAAAAATATCAGTTACATATTTCAGGTTCTAATTGTATACAGTCATTGGTTATGTTGCACAGCATACTCACTGGAAGGGATGCGATCCATCATTGAGACGGGTAACTGTCATGGCTTTGTAGAGCAAGCGTACAGGGAGGGTGAAGGCCATAATGCTCAAACCGAGGTTGGATAGAATTGTAATGGCACTGAGCTGAAACAAAGAAGCCAAGCCCACAACCAAACCTGTAAACACCACCCCGGTGGTTGCCAAATTCCGCCAGTATATCAGATCCAACACTAGAGAGGGCAAGAAAAAAAAATGTGTGAAATCTCAGGAAAATAAAAACATAAACAAATAATCAGACAGAATGATTGAAAGAAAGAGACTGAGGGGAAAATGCAAAGATCATGGAGTATTACTTTAAAGTCTGTCTCAAGGGGGATTTGTAGTGAAGTATTTGTGTGGTCAGATGCGCATGTTTCCACTGGGTGTCAGGCAATTTGTGTGTTAGACTGTCTGCCACAGACTAGCAAATTACAAATTTCATCCGTTTTTTTGGTCCATTCCAATATCTTTAGTAAATTAATTCACTTTAGTTATTTAATCTATTAAATCATGTAAATGGTCCTCTAAATGTAAAACAGGTTTTGGATTGAATGAAAATAGTTGAAAACTGGCTTCAGTTCAGCAGGACTTCTAATATCATAAAAGAAGATCATATGTTAGAATTATGCTTAAAATGTCACCTTATTGGCCAAACACAATGTTATAAAACATAAACACATTATTTTCAATAACTTTACTGTATAATGCTAATTTACAGTAATTTAGCCAGCCAGAAATCCACTTTGTTTGTATGCAAGTGATGCAGTGGTAATAAAAGGGGTTCAGTATATATCCACTAAGCATCTAAAAACAGATTTTTAAAAATATACTTTGTCATGCTATACATTGCCAGGCATTTGGTATTTTGGTTTTGTCAAACAGTGTGAAAACAAGCAGACGGAAAACACTCAAACAGCACAATAAAACTGAAGAGAAAAGAAAAACTGAAAAATTCTCATGTGCAGGAGTGGCCTTAATATTGTCAAGGACAATATAAATAAAATGTATTGACTGATTGATAGAGACGGCCAGAAGTTTTCATTTAGCATTGTTTTTTTTTTGACAAGCAGACATGTGATCATCAAGGCAGACTCAGCCAAAAACACTTGATGAAATCGTGCAATTGTCAAACAGCTTGGTCACGTTATACACTCCAGGCTGTGCCAGACATGTCAAGTCTGTAATCACATTCAATTTTTTTTTACACACACAAATAGACTAATCTGAATCCAAAGTCCACTGCAGTTGTCCATGAGCTCATCTATCACATAACTGCACATTAATTTAGTGCAAATGTTACATCACCAAGTCAAACACATGACATAAATGGCCAAGAAGCTCTTTAGAGTGTTAGAGAGCACATGGACACAATCAGGGCAGAACAGCTAATGGCAGTGTGCATTAGAACGCCCCTTCTCTTGTGAAGCCAACAGAGCTCAACAGCTGTTGACTCTGATTATCCTCCAAATGCAGGTGCAAATCTTGAACGAATGCTGTGTGCACACTGGTGCAAAGCCGAATGAGCCTGTATTAGATCAGTCCAAACCTTCAAAAATCTTCTCTGCATAAAACCCTCCACGAGGCCTCCTGCTAATGTACTTTACTGCAGCCTAACATGGCTGGGTCAGATTGAATCTCTCCGGGGAGACGTCTGCCAGCACTGCCAAAATAAGACTGAGAGAAGATCTCACCTACTTCATTCAGACATCATTGACTCCTTTTCTCCCTCTGCCTCAAAATGTAAATCCTAGTGTCATGCATCAGTCCGCTCATGAAGGTAGTCCATCCATCAGATCCCATCAGCCTGCCAAACTTCCATTGGGAAAAGTCCTGTATGATGTGCTGACTAGTCAGCAGCATTACTATACCTCTACAGAGCACACTCAACTTCAATCTGATCTCTTATCCTACCCCCAACCTACCTCAGTTACTGCCAACCTGCTATTCGTGTACCAGCAGATTACACGTGTAAACAATACAGCTCATGAGAGCTTGATTCCCCGTGCTGTTCAGTCCTGCTCAAGACTCTCACCTTTGCTGGCCATTTCTGCTGCTTCCACACCAAACCCCCTCTCCTCCTAGCACTCCACGAACCCTCTGGGCTTTTTTTGGCCATCTTAGCGTTGTCAGCTGGAAGGGGTTGGCCTGACCTAATAATATCTCAACCACTTGGACACCCCATCTTTACGAACACACACAGCTATACTCCCTTATGAGCTGTTCCGAGCTTAAGGAACCTGAGACGTCAGCATGTGTTTGTGTGCATCTCAAGGGAAATGGATAAGCTTAGATATAAGCAAATTGCTCAGGCATTGCTCAAAGAGTGCTGTGCTTTATCTTCCGACATACTAGCAAAAAAGCTAGCCTTTAACACCTACCTGAGGATGCATGTAGGTTTTTATCTACATATAACTTCGGTAATGAAAAGGCCTCTCTATTGTCAGGTAGCTTGACCCAGCAGATGAGTCAGTACTATCAGAATGATGCAATCATTGTTCAGCTGTCAAACACATTTATTCATGTGACATTTGTGTTTGCGTCATTCCGCAGACACACAAGAAGAGTTACAAAGACAAAAATATCTTGTTACGTAATAATGTTTATGAATGCATTTTTGATTTACATAATCCACTAATCTGTCTGAAACAACCCTTGTTAGAGTCTCCTGAGTTCGTATCTGAATATGCCATTTATGAATTCTGCTCAAGGCAAACCGTGTTCTTTAATGTGAATCACTGGATCTGGTTCACATAACAGTTTTTAAGAAAAAGCAATGGAACGTACACTGTCTCTCTTTCTTTATTTATTTCCCTCATGCTGGGCTACTGTGAAAAATCTGTTATGCACATTAATCTGTGCATGTTAGGTAATCCAAAATTATCAAATGCTCAGCACAGATGATTAACAGAGGGAGTTCAGGAGGAGAAGCTGAGGGAGGGAGAGAGGGAGAGGCACTGAACATGTGAAAGAGAGAGAGCCACTCTGCGAAAGGATTGCATGTTGGTGTGTACAACAAGAGGGAGGGCCAGCGAGATCATTGGTGCACAGAAATAGCTCAGCCAATCGGAGGGATGACAGGAAAATAACGGGCTCAGACAGAGAGAAAGCTTAGAGAGAGGGAATATCACTGACATATAGGAGAGGAAGGCAATAAAAGTGGATCAAATTGGACGGAGCAACCGTGACAACAGATAGATTAGATCTCAGTGAGATCTGTAGCAATGGGTAGACTGAGAGAAGGGATATCCAAGCATTCTATATTGGATCACTCGATGATGCTTGAAGGTGCAGAATCAGTCTCCCGGGAGATAATGCTGTGAAGGCCCTGAACAGCAAGGCTGCACACAGCCAAACCAAAGCCAGCGAGCTACAGCACAGGGTGGAGGCCGTGAACGGATTCAAACGAGTGCAAAAAAGACATCATGAGGACATCTAGGAAAGGAAGCGTTGAAATGCCTGCTTTTGTAAGGCAGCTGGTAAAGGAGACAGAGAAAAGGGTCACCTCCTTTTTTAAAGGGGGACGAGGAGGAGGCGCAGGGGAGCTGTCCGAAAGCGAAGAGGGGGCAGAAGAGGAAGGGGTGATCCCTAGCCCCTATTTGGACCGGCCAGTTCTGGACAAGCACATGCAAGAGGGTTGTGCCTCCTGGGGACTTACCTATGCCCTGGCTAGTATGCAGGGCTGGAGGGCCCACATGGAGGATTTCCATAATTGCTTCCCTCAGCTGGGAGGGGAACTGTCCCACTGGGCATTCTTCGCTGTTTTCGATGGACATGCAGGAAGTGCTGTGGCCCAGAACTGCTCCCGAAATCTACTTGATCACATCTTAGGTACAGGTGAGCATCAAGCTGTCCTAAAATCAGTTGGCGTTTTTGTTTATTGTGCTGTAGATACATAAAGTACATAATGTTACTGTAGATCGGATCATCACATCACGTGTTCATTGTTGATCTCTTTAGATTACACCTGAGACAATCCCTTGAGACTGGATTAATTTGTAGACCTGCTGTACAACCAAAGCCACTGCAACATTAAAACTTCATTAGGCTGCGTTCTGACAAGTTAATTGAGGTGTACAACATGTTCCCTATGTAGGAAACGCAATTATCTTCACATAACGCTTTGTCCTTGCAATCTTCACTAATAAAGCCTTTATATTCATTTGTGAATAAGCAAATGTGATCTGTTTGAAGATCACTGATAGATCCTGCACTAGCAATAGCAGACTAGCTTGGGTTGGTTCATTTGTTACATGAGCGGTTTCTTCTCAGGCAAGATCCGAGCAGATGAAGATGTGGAAAGGGTCACTGAGGGCTTCAAGGAGGGCTTCTTTCTTATGGACAAGCACCTTCATGCCATGGCCTGCCGTGAGGGTTGGGAGCGGGGTGGGACCACTGTCGTTTCCACTGCTATCACTCCGCACCACATCTACTTCGTGAATTGCGGGGACTCTCGGGCTGTTCTGTGCCGTGCTGGGCGAGTGGCATTTTCGACAGAGGACCACAAGCCTTTTAGCCCAGGTGAGAAGGAGAGGATAGAGAGTGCTGGAGGATCGGTCACTTTGCAGCGAGTGAATGGCTCTCTGGCAGTCTCCCGAGCATTGGGGGACTTCAGCTACAAGACAGTCGAGTGGCGGTCAGTCACAGAACAGATGGTATCACCAGAACCAGAAGTGTCTGTGGTGGAGCGCTCGCCAGCAGATGAGTTTCTGGTTCTGGCCTGCGATGGTGTGTGGGACACTGTCAGTAATGAAGAGCTCTGTGCCTTCGTACATAGCCGACTGCGTATCTGCACGGACCTGAGAGAGGTCTGCTCCCAAGTCATCGACCTTTGCCTCTATAAGGTTAGTATGAACAAAAGATTTCATGTAGTATTTGGTTCAGACCAATTCATGCCCAATTTGGTCTATTTTCCCAGAGCAACTTCTGGTTCTGGTGACAGCTCTTTCACTGGGTAAAACTTTTAGTACCAGAAAATGCCAGGTTCACATTTTGTCACATTGGATTTACCACCAAAACTTTATATACAGTGCTTATGTTTGATGGCCAGATCCAAACTGTTCTTCAAAAGCAAGACACTTAAATCAAGCAGCTTTAAAATGTGCTTTAGATGGTCTAAAAATATATATAAAAAAATAAAGTCATTAAGTATTTTAGCGTTGGAGCGGTCAACTACATTTTCTAATGCGAAATCTAGAGTCTGTTGGCTATGACACTGCAAGCTGACTTAAGCCAGGCTGTTGCATTACGTAAGAGAAACACAGAATGGCCTTTAGGCTGCAGAAAAGGATGCGTGCTGACCTGAAAATGTCAACATCTTTCTCTGCGCAGTAAGCCAGATCTTTGCTTTGTCAGTGCTGCACATTCGACCACCATCGCAAAGCACAAAGTGAAGCTGTATTCAGCGCTAAGCTGTATGGGATAAACTACTTTTAGCCATGGTGAGAGGAGATTACAGCATTCTGCCACGCATTGTACGGTGTAGGGAGAGACAACCTACAACATCCCTAAGAAATGAAGGATAAGGTTTGCATTAGTGACACCAACTCCAATCCACTTAATCATCAACGTGAGGTGGCTGTCTTTAAAACAAAAGCCTCAAGGCTAATGACACGCGAAAGCAGCTGCTCAAATTAGCGATGAAATCATATTATTTGTTTTTTTTTTACTGTATGTGTCTTCGTGTCTTTGCTAACAGGGGAGCCTTGATAACATCAGCATCATTCTAGTGTGTTTCCCTGGCGCCCCCCAGCTGTCACCTGAAGCACTGCACCATGAGGCTGAGCTTGAGGACTTTTTGGAGTCTAAAGTAGCTGGTAAACCATCCGAATAAATCTGGTTTCTTTTGTTATTGATTCTAAGACATGACTTGCATCACAAATAGTATTGGTGATGGTCTGTGCATGTCAGCTTGAGGAGTTAAATCATTGTCATGCATATCTCCTTGGCAGAGATATTTGAAGAGCTGAGCATGAGAGGTGATGAGCCTGATTTGCTGTCAGTTTTGACAGTGCTGGCCTCAACGGTGATTCCTGGACTTCCACCAGGAGGCGGCCTTCAAAGCAAGTGAGTACATGTTTTATATCATGCTTTACTTCTGCTCAAAATAGCAGACAGCAACGATGTTAGATAAGTGTGAAAACTTGATTCACGCTGAAATCATTAGTAAATCTGTTGCATGAAATAGATGTCACACTTCCAGTTGATCTGAACGGCTTTTAAATAGCATTATTTTATTTTTCTAACTTATTAATAAATTTAATTATTATTATAGTTTTTTAATATTATTTACAACTCCATGATATCATTATAGGTGGAATTAAATATTGACATTGACTCATTTATTTCCAAACCAAATGACAAAAACGGAAACAGTGAGTAAGCCTTAATAAAATCACTGGCTGTTAAAGGATTCAGGCAGCAAACACAGCAGACTGATGGTTTGTTATTTAAAAGGGGGCTGGGAATTGAAATATTAAAAACAACTGAATTGTGATGATCAGACATATAACCATCTTCAATGTCTATATTTGAGATGGAAAGATCAAATCTAAGTGTGTCCAAATTTATGAGTAGGCTTTGAGACAGATTGAGTTAGATTAAAGAAATGAATGATTTGTATGATTCCTTCACCATAGGCTATTTAGGACAGCAGATATGCCAATTAAAATTCACCTAGTATTAAAATCTTCTCAAAGTTTTGTACAATTGTAGTTAAAAACACATTTTGTTGTATTTTGTTGTCTATATAAGTGCACAAAATAATCGAAATAATGGCTAAGAAGCAATTATTATATTACTTATTTATTTATTCCTATTTTGATTGATATTAATGAAATAATAATAATAAAAGCAATGAAACAGTAGAAAATAAACTACATTAATACTAATTATAATAATAATTATTATTGTTATCCTTAACAATTTAGAAATAAATTATAATGATAATAATAATAATTATTATTATTATTATTATTATTATTTTAAATATTAAATTAATACTTGCGATATAAGAAGCAACTATTAGAATGCTTTCATCTTTTTTTCGTGTAAATAATAATTTCATAATTTATCAGCAAGTTCAAGATCCACTGAATTGGGAAACAATTTTATACCATTTTCTACAAATATTTTAAAATAACATTTCTATCAATAGAAACCTTTGGACATTTATTTAAATACCCAGACATTCACAGAGTCTTAGAATATTTGTTTCAGTTATGAATTTTGAGTATTCTTCTTCTAGTTTTGGAAGTGTAAAAGGGCTTTATTGGATCATTAAACTTGTCTTTCATGTAGCAGCAGATTAGACAATCATTAGATTAGATTAAAACTGCTAGAATGACATATCCACCCTGGAGGTGCTGAATGATGTCCAGGAACCCTGTGTACAAAGCAGCTGCTCTCAGATTCAAGGTCCAGACACCTTTACTGGAGCACCATTCAGATCCACAAGCAGAGCTTAAATCATATGTAAGACAACTGAACACATGCCTGAACTTTACAATTTTCTGAATTCGCAGGCGGAACTGTATAATTTCTGCTTACTATCAACAAAAAGATGCTCGAAGATCTAGATTAGCCCAGGTAAGCTTCCTTGTAGTGATAATAATGAGTAATGTTTTTGTCATTACTGTATACAAAAATTTAAGCATTTTTTTTTATAAATTCTTGCCTTGTATCTTTTCAGGAACTCAGTCCCACTGATGCCAATTAGAGTCCATCTTATTTAAGCATTTACTGGATGTGATAGATTGAGGAACTGAAGGTGATCAGTTTTCTGTCTTTAAACTTATACATGAAAAAAAAAAAGATCTTCTTTATGGACAGCAACAATCAAGCATTTTACTTCAGTCTTTTTGTATGTTTCCTGAATGATCCGAAACTTGCAAAAAGCAATGCTGTGCCACATTGCAGGACAATATCGACTGTATATAACTTTGATTCTTTAGATTGTAATACGTTCAGTATTTTCCTTACCAAATGTATATACAATGAGTCTTACAATCGAAAATACTCAGGTAAAATGTTCAAGCAGTGATGACAAACCTTTGAGATTATCTTCAGCCTTTGCATATGACAGGTCATTTTTTAAAGTGATGCCATAAAATATTGATTTATCTGGACATAAGCAACAAGCAAATCACTGATGCATTATTAAAGGAATAGTTCACCTAAAAATGACTTACAGCATGTGGTCAAAATAGTCAATAAAATATTTATATTCACATTAATAATAATATATAAAGTTTATCTTGAATAAATAAAACTACATAAAATATGTATATTTAAATAAAAAATAATATTTGTGTGAACTATTGCTTTAAGAATTCAAACTTGAAATTTTCTAAATCACTAAGAAGCAAACTCCACTTAAAAACATCATGTCTTGGGGTTTACAGGCCCATAATATTATGGTCACAGATTGCAACTTTTCCTGTTTTTGAATAGTTGTTTCCTGTAATACGCTCTGCTCCGTTTGCATGATCTGTACTGTGTTGCCTTACTGACCTCTTTGAAATTATGCCAATATATAAATGTGTTAACATTACTGAGATATTTCCTAATGACTAGCAAATGAACTGATGCAGTGCTGTATCATGTTGTGTAATGATCTTTGTGCACATTTGACAGACCTTGTGCAATATTTGTGTTAACATAAAGGTTGAAGGTTAAGTAGTAAAATAAACAGATCGAGTCGTATTCATATTTCTGTTTATTATTATATGCCTGCCCTGCTACATAACCAGACAATTTTGATAATTGTAGTCATATATTTTGTGTGTATGTTCTTGATTTCAGCATAAAAGACTCATTTTACTGTACACCATTGACAATAACGATAAAGATATGGTTCACATTCCTATTTTTCCGCCTATATATATATATATATATATATATATATATATATATATAGATAGATAGATAGATAGATAGATAGATAGATAGATAGATAGATAGATAGATAGATAGATAGATAGATAGATAGATAGATAGATAGATAGATAGATAGATAGATAGATAGATAGATAGATAGATAGATAGATAGATAGATAGATAGATAGATAGATGTTTAAATAATGTTTAACAGAGCAAGAAAATTTTTACAGTATGTCTGATAATATTTTTTTGTTCTGGAGAAAGTCTTATTTGTTTGATCTCAGCAGGAAAAAAAGCTGTTTTTAATTTTTTTTTTTTTAACCATTTTAAGGTCAAAATTATTAGCCCCTTTAAGCTATATATTTTTTTCATAGTCTACAGAACAAAACAACGCTATACAATAACTTGCCTAATTACCCTAACCTGCCTAGTTAACCTAATTAACCTAGTTAAGCCTTTAAATGTCACTTTAAGCTGTATAAAAGTGTTTTGAAAAATATCTAGCCAAATATTATTTACTGTCATCATGGCAAAGATAAAATAAATCAGTTATTAGAAATGAGTAATTAAAACTATTATATTTAGAAATGTTTTTAAAAAAATCTCTCCGTTAAACAGAAATTGAGGAAAAACATAAGGAGGCCAATAATTTAAGGGGGCTAATAATTCTGACTTCAACTGTATATATATAAAGTTAAACCCAATCATATATATATGAGCAATTCCGTTCAAATGTCAACCTTGCAATGAAAAAAATTTAGTTTTCACCAAAATACAAAAACCGTTTCTGTGTTTTTTGGGGTAAGCAAGTATTTTACAATATTTTAGAAATACTCAAAAACGCATCTGTCAATGTTTTCAATCTATTATATTTGATTTATCTAAGACACACAAGTGACAATTTCACATCCGTCACATCCATAACAGAGAGATGTCACATCCATAACGACACTTTTTCCTAATAAATGTGAAAATATTAAATTAAATAAACCCAATCATTGTTGGTTTATAAAGAGCCAACTCTTATCCTTTTGATTATCATTGTTTCTTTTGGATTGTGCAGTTTAGTTCACAGAATTTCTACAAAGTATGTGGTATATTGTAAACCCGCAGACTTTTTTTGTCACATCCATAACGCATGTTCATTTCCCTCATTTAAAGTAAAGAACATGTTTACAGATTGAGATTGTTCTGGTCCCAGAACTCTGTGGTCAGTTGTTCTGGAAAATATAGAGAGATGTTTCAATATAATGTTAACATATACTTTCTATGTGAATTATGTTTTGAGTTTTTACTGCAAATACCACATCCATAACACTGGAATTGCTCATATATATATATAGATGTTCAATATTATATACAAATAATAGTATTGTTGGAATCACATTCCATTTTTTTCCGCCTAATAACTATTGAACCTGAAAAATGTTGACTGCTAATCAGAACCAATTAAAGAAGTTTTTATCCTAAATATAGTTATATATGATTATAGTTATTGTTTTTGTGAATAGGCCTTAAAGGTGAATAGGCTGTGAATAGGCCTTAAAGGGATAGTTCACCCAAAACTGAAATTCTGGCAACATTTACTCAATCTTCACTTGTCACAACCCTGTTTGGATGTTTTTTCTGTTTAATACAAAATAAATTATTTTGAAAAATGTAAGAAACTGCTAACCATTGACTTCCATGGTATTGTCTATGGAAGTTAATAGTTACAGGTTTCTCACATTCTTCAAAATATCTTTTTTGAGTTCAACATGAGTGGTTTGAAACCACTTGAGGTTAAGTAAACAGTGAGTGCATGTTCATTTTAGGGTGAACCCCAAACTCCTTTAATTAGGACATTAAACCAGAAACGTACATTTTATAAAAAAATGTGACAGAGCTTGACTTAAGCTTGTCGTCCTGAAACAAATCATACAAAAACAAGCATAAAATGCAAATGTGACAGGACTGACTGAAACATGGGGACATTTGTAAATGTATTTGTATTATATATATATATATAGTATTAATTTGTAGAATTCATAATTTCATGTTTTTAATCAATTGTTGTGAGTGATAACAACCTAAACTCGCTATTTCTGAAGTTTTTTTTCTAAATAATAGTTTTTAGCATAACAAAACTATTAAAGCTGCAGGTTCAATAGGGCTGAGGACAGGGACAATGATAGTTTGTACAGTATAAAGCGTTTTTAATAAAGAACAAAAACTGAGAACCAAATGAATGACTTATTCCTTTACAGAACAACTAACAGAAATCAACCATCGACCATTTTAGAAATATTGAGGATGAAATACTTTTATTCACTGTATTTACGTTGTTATCTCAGGGACAGATAATGTACGTTTCTGGTAGAACGTCCCAATTGAATAGTTCACTTAAAACAATACAATTTGCTGTTCAATCACTCAGGCTTGAAAATCATCTAAAACCAGCTATTTCCAGCTGCTTAGCTGGTCTTGGTGGTTAAAAAGTGGCTAAAAGTGACCTACATTTTAAATGGCCTGAGGGTGATCAAATGAACAGCAACTGTTTCTTATTTAGAGGTGAACTATCCTGAGTAAGCTGTACCACTATTATCCGCTGGGGGGCAATAGTACCCTCCAAACAGCAAACCCACGTTTATTTTTCATTGATATCTGCAAAACAGCGTTGTCTGTCACTCAGAAACCTTAAAAATCTCTATGAATGACAAGAGACTGCTGTAATACAGATGTGTAAATATGTGAGTAATTATTTCATTTAAAACATACATGCTGATACCAAAATAGACAAAGTACATTTTGTTTACAATATACAGTATCTACAAAGTCTATAAAACATATCTACAAAAATAATGAAGCAATTTAACGTAGATGACTTGTATTTTGAAATATTATAGGCTATTGTGCCATTAACGAAAAGTCTATTTGTATTCAATTTAGATAAATCATGTTTGTCAAAACAATCAACATGGCTGCAGCAGCGTGGGAGAAACGATTAAACAATGAATAATACTGACCATCATCTCCTTTCGATTTGACACTTGTGTTTCTTCCTCCGGGGACTGTCTGTCTGTAAGTGGCGAGGCTACATCTGTCTGGCTCTTGATAATCAGTCTGTTTCCGTGAAGAGCTGTTAAAGGGTCTCTCCAGAAGCACAGTGTGATTGCTCACCACACCGGCCAATCACTTCAGCATCAAAGTGACTCTGAGAAGCGGTGTTACCATTAAAATTACAGTTTGTTTATAATGATGTAAAAGGGGAAAATGAAAGTCTTTTCTTAAAAACTGAGCCATTCAATTTTCATCATGATAACATTCGTCCTTGTGATCTTCATGTATATTGAGTAATTAGCTAAACTAATTACGTAACTGTGTTACAGTAGTAAACGTACAATTTAAATCTTGCTTGCATGCAGTAGGCCTAAATGCTAAAACCTTTGTGAACCTAATTCCCCAGTCAGCTAAGCTACCAAAGACTACGCTACTTGTCCCAGTTGTAAGAGCAAATAATAACTTGACTTCTAGATGATCATTTGGAAAAGTGGCAGAAGGTAGATTTTTCTGATGAATCATCTGTTGAACTGCATCCCAATTATCACAAATACTGCAGAAGACCTATTGGAACCCAAGGTCCTCACAGAAATCAGTCAAGTTTGGTTAAGAAGAAATCATGGATTGGGTTTACATTTAGTATGGTGGTGTATGAGAGGTCTGCAAAGTGGATGGCAACATCAACAGCCTGAGGTATCAAGACATTTGTGTTGCCCATTACATTACAAACCACAGGAGAGGGCAAATTCTTCAGAAGGATAGTGCTCCTTCTCATACTTTAGCCTCCACATCAAAGTTCCTGAAAGCAAATGTAACCCCGCCAGTCCTACGCCACCCAACCTGCTCCGAGCTGGTATCAAACCGACGACCTTCGGTTGGAAGTGTGGGAGTGTTGCTCTACCAAAGAGGCTAAAGACCATGGCCTCTAGCGTTTGTCGCTAGAGCACCTTTAGAGGTCAGAAAATTGGGGTTTACCTGCACAGCACACACTAGCTGGCATCCGTTACACTTACCCCCCTAAAAGTAACTCCCATCCGGGTCACGGCACCAATGTAACCCTGCTGGTCCAACGCCACCCAATCCGCCCGAGCTGGTATCGAACCGGCGCTCTTCCGCATGGGAGTTGTTTGCTCTACCAAGGAGGGTAAAGACCATGACCTCTAGCGTTTGTCGCTAGAGCACCTTTAGAGGTCAGAGGATTGGGGTTTACCTGCTCAGCACACACTAGCTGGTATCTGTTTCACTTACCCCCCCTAAACCTAACTCCCATCCGAGTCACGGCTCCAATGTAACCCCACCGGTCCTACGCCACCCAATCCACCTCCGAGCTGGTATAGAACCGGCAACCTTCCGCATGGGAGTCGTTTGCTCTACCAAGGAGGCTAAAGTCCATGGCCTCTAGCATCTGTCGCTAGAGCACCTTTAGGGGTCAGGAAGTGAGGTTTAACTGCAAAGCACACACTAGCTGGCCTCCGTTACTCTAACATGGTCCAGGATTGGCCTGCCCAGTCACCAGACATGAACAATACTGTGCATGTTTGGGGTAAGATGAAGGAGAAGGCATTTAAAGATGAATCCAAAGAATCTTGGGAGTCTTGCTTTCTTTGCCATTCCAGATGACGTTATTAACAAGTTATTTGAGTCATTGCAGGCATGTATGGAGACAGTCGACAAGCTCATAGGAGTCATACACAATATTCTTTTTCCACTGCACCTTGACTTTATGTTTTATACTGTAAATTATTTCTGTTAAGAAAATAAGACTTTTATTCAAGACTTTTGTCTAAGCAAAGTCAGAGCTTACTGTCCTTATTACATAATTAAAAATCAAGGCATGATCATATTTTATTTTGGTACACTGAGTGTAATCTAGAGGTCTTTGCCTTTCATTTAAGCCACTTCTGATACCAAATGATCAACTAGAAGTCAAAGTATTATTTGTTGCTTCTAAAACTTAAATAGGCGATAAGACTTTTGTCAGGTAGTGCATAGAATACTCAATACCTTAGGGACTTTTGGTAGTAACGTTATTTCATTCAGGAATAAACAGAACTAAACAATTTTCCAAAATTCGATAGGAAAAAGTTTGACTAGGAATAATAAGAGTAATTTTTTAATTCTAATTCCAAACAAAATCTGGGAAAATAAATGCTTACACCGGTCATTTCATTTAGAAAATATTTTTAAATATCTAAATACTGGGGGTGAATTCAGGTCAATTGGCACACTTTTTGCTTTTGAAATGACCATTGAAAAGTGTCCTAATTTGCCATATTTAGATTACAAGTTGTATAGCTGGCCTTTTAAACATTTCTACAGTATTTGACTGTGAGACTTATACACCATATGTATTTTACCAAATTTTTAAAAATGCTTTTTAAAAAAACTGTTCACCAAAAAAGCGACAATTTTGTCATAATTTACTCACCCTCATGTCACTCCAAGCCCACAAGACTTCTGTTCATCTCTAATCTTTAATGAAACCTGAGAGATTTCTGTCCCTTCATTCCAAAAATGAAAAATTGGTTTAATCCCAATCTTCGAAAGAGAACTTAATACTTTACATGAATCTAATTCTGTTTAGGCATACAGTATATTCACATATGAACAGGCTATTATTCATCAAAACAAATTTTCATTTGTTTTTAAGAGATGAACAAAGTCTTGCAATCCTGTGTTGATGTGAAATGGCCTTAATTTTCAATTTCAGTGAAACATCCCTTTTACCAAACTTAAACTTTGCTTTACTTCTTAAAAATTAGCTATGTGTCGGTGCCAGCAGCCTAGTGGTTAGTGCGTCGACACATAGCAATGAGGTGCTCGCAGTGACACAAGTTCGATTTCCGAACTGATCCTTCCCCTATCTCTGCTCCCCACACTTTCCTGTCTCTATATCTCCACTGTCCTATCAATAAAGGTGAAAACCTCTAAAAAAATTATTAAAAACAAAAAAATTAGCTATGTGAATATAAATGTCCATCAATTGCCTGACATTGTAATTAACTTCATCTCAGCTTTCTTACATTGTAAATTACATTTCTGCATCCAGTTTTTCATTAAATGTCCTGCAATTTAAAGCTGTCCTCATCCTCAAAGTCATTCTGAAAGATAGACATCTTCTGTATATGCAAGTAGTGTTTGTATGTCCAGCATCATCTTTGTATAAGCGAGCTACCTGTCTACGCTGGTCTCCTGAAGGCGGTTATTCATGATAGCAAAAGCTCCCACTCCACCAGAAAAGCCATTCTGGCGAACATGGCTCTGTCTTGGATTACCGTGAGCGGTCTCTGAGAGTTGCTTCTGCAGAATGGCCAGAGAAACCTTGTTGGCCATAAAGTCATTGACTGAGATCATTTCTCCAGACAGTCTGCGCCCTGTCAGATAACCTCCATCTGGTCCTAAGCCAGCATCAGTCTCACTATCACAAACTGTTTCCACTGATGCATTAGTGAAGCGCTTTCCTGACGCTTCATTTGCTGGGGCAGGGTGCACAGCGTTACGTTTTTGTGCCCTCTGTCGGGAATTTCCTGGTGGAGGATGGTGGTTGTGGCGCTGGTTGGGAATACGTGGAAAACAGCAGCAACCGCAGGCCCGACCTCGCCGCCTGTATGGACGACCACGACAGGGACACTGGGTCCTACTGCAATCCAGCTTGCCGAGGATCCAATTGAGCGTCTGCTTGATAATGATGGAAATGACATTGAACAGGGAATAAATGCAACACACACCCATCAGGATGAAGAGGCAGTTGCCGAAACGGTAGGCCTCCTGAGCTTTATAGTTTTCCCGCTGGCTGCTCACCACATCCCCAAATCCAATAGTGCTGAAGGCCACAAAGCAGAAGTAAAAGGATTCAAAGTAGTCCCAGCCCTCCATGGCAGAGTACAAAGCAGACGCGCTGCATGCGATCAGCAGGGCAGCGATGCCCAGAATGAGCATCACGTAGTAGACTGAAGGTTTCCAGCCCTCCAGACTGTCGTCCTCACTTCTGGCCTCCTCTCCTCCCACGCCGGACCGCCGAAGCTGGCGCTCATGACACCAGCGCATAATGTAGGCCAGCATCGTGATGATGCGCTCCAGAAACAGGTTGAAGAAGAGGATTGTTGCTGCACAGCCGAGGAGTCCGTAGAATATCAGAAAGATCTTACCTGCAACGGTGACAGGAGTGGTCATGCCAAAACCTGGAGGGAGATATGAAAACAGAGCCAAATTTGGTCAATGGATAAATTCCTATGAAAAATGGTGCACTTCAACTACAAATGGTTTTAAAGCAACCATATATGGTGACTTCATTGATATTGCAATATTTAATTTTTCTGTCATAAAGGTTAACCCCTGGAAAAACTCCATGGTTTTCTAAAGAATATTCATTCATTCATTTTCTTTTCGGCTTAGTCCCTTTATTAATCTGGGGTCGCCACAGCAGAATTAACCACCAACTTATCAGCACATTTTTATGCAGCGGATGCCCTTACAGCTGCAACCCATCACTGCAAAACATCCACTCACATTCATTAACATTCATACACTACGGACAATTTAGCTTACCCAATTCACCTGTACCGCATGTCTTTGGACTTGTGGGGGAAACCGGAGCACCCAGAGGAAACCCACGTTTCATGGGGAGAACATGCAAACTCCAGACAGAAATGCCAACTGACCCAGCCGAGGCTCGAACCAGTGACCTTCTTGCTGTAAGGCGACAGCACTACCCACTGCGCCACCACGTCGCTGGTCTAAAGAATATTCTAATGAGTAAATCTTTTCTTTCTCTCATGTCACTCCAAAACATTTCATACATTGAAAGTAAACAGTCGAAAAAACAGTTGTCAAGCTCAAAAACTGGATGGATGCAAAAACTTCCAAACGCCATCCAAAATACTCTTTTAAAATCTGCATTTTTCTCAGCCTATTGTTTTTTTGGTTATTTCACTTATAACACATTGAAAATAACCTTTTCATCACCATAAAATTTTGATTAAAAAAAGCAATAGTATCTGGATGCAGACTTGGATTTGAGACTGCATATCTCAGAGATGCAATGTCAGACACAATGCACACAATGGAGCATCAATGGTGACGTGACTGTGAGGGGTAGAATTAGGAATAGGTGTGGGCATTAAAAGCATTGCACGCAACTGCACCCTCTCGTTTAAAGGCCAGCATCAAGACAGAACTTAAAGGCTACTACATCTAAACATCTCTTCATATTAGAATATTTCTATTTTAATGAATGCTCATAGACATTCCATTTGTGTACATTGCAAGTTGTCCTGAGAGCCATAACAACTGATAACATTTCACTCCAATCAAGTCCAACCTGATGGCAAGCCTGAAATTTTTCAAAGTTGCAGCAGATAATTGTTAACTAATTCCTTTATTACGTTTTTGACACTTGTTGACCAGACAGAAGCGTATGGTCTGTGAAATTCTTTTTTTCTCAAACTTTGTAATTTGCTGGATTTAATTTTCCTCCACTTAAGTTATTTCCTCCATTTTAAAAACTACATCTTAATTTTTTTGTTAAATTTTGGCAATCAAATGTATGTTTATTAAACGCATTTTATTTTCTAACAAAAGTTTTCAAGTTAAACACTTTCAGTTTTATTTTAATGGCTTGTGCAGACCCTCTGTTTTTCTCAAATAAAACCTAAAATGCTTGTAAACTAGAGATAAAGATTATGTAATATCCTCTGAAAACAGCACAAGAGCCACACATGGTTTGAGGGCATGTTGCAAATGAATTTAATTTAAACAGACTTGCAGAACAGGCAGACTTCATATTTACATAATACTAGTATATTTGGAGATTTGATCAGAAGTACAGACCTATGTTTGATTTATTCTTTTAAAACGTGCCAAATTCTGTGATATTCTGTTTTATGCAGTAAATTCCAATTATAGGATGAAATTCTGCAATTCACATCATATACTGCATTCTGAAAATCAAAGGGCCTGGTGCTAGCAAAACCCCAGCAAGCATTTTCTTTGTTTTAAAAGATGTCTAATAGATGTCTTAAAAATGTCTAAACATAGTGGCTAAAATAAGGCTAATTTGGTTTGTCAGTGAAAATCTAATAGACGTCTAAGAATAGGCCAGAACTAGGCTAGTCATCAAATAAACAGAAATTAATGACTACACATATAAAGTTTGTCTAATATGTCTATTTGATAACTAGTCTAGTTTTGGGTTATTCTTAGATGTCTATTAGATTTTTACAGACAACCCAAGTTTAGCCTTGTTTTAGCCAAGCTGTTTACGTTTAAATGTCTATTAGACATCTGTTAAACACAAAATTGTTTGCTGGAACCATGGTCATGGCTCATCTTGGTCACCAGCTGTTACCTCCTGACAAAATTGCATCTGAATTTTGCACAACTGTAGGTATGTCAGACTGCATGTCAATGTACACCGCTTTTCTTATTTATTTAAAGCTTATATTGATTGATGTTTACTTTTTCCATGCTATGCTCAATTGCCTATTTTGTAAAATTATAAAACAATTTATACCTTAAACCTTCCTTGGTATTTAGTGTGGACAGCAAACTATGAATTTCATTGTACATGGAACCACTTTCCTTACTGTGCATATGAAAAAAACACTTTGAATTGAATTGGTTTGTTGGGGGGCTGGAGTACCAGTTGGAAATTTAGCAATCAAACTATTCATTTAATAATGATGCATAAAAATGTATTAAACTTACAACTTGATTCTTCATTTTATTTCTAATTGGCAAGCTATTTTGGCAAGCTGGTTTGCAGATAAGGAAATTTAAATGCAACATTACTCACCTATAGTGGAAATCACTGTACCAACAAAGTAGAAGGCGCCTGAGAAATCCCAGCGGGCCCTAAGTTTGTCCACCCGGATTCCAGCTGCAAAGGCCTCCTCATATTGCCTGAGCAGGACCTGCAGTGATTTGAGATGAACACTGTTTTGCTCTGTGAAGTTGGCCAGCTGTTCTTCCCAGCGCTGGTGAGCCTGCACCTCAGAGGGATGCTCGAGTGCGGAGAACACCACCGCGCCACACAGCAGGTAGAGCAGGATGAGGGCTGCCAACAAGCCGAAACGGGCATTGTCTTCATTCAGGTGAAGTGGGAGGCAACAGTTGTTGCTGGCATCTCTTCGACGTGGCATGACTTGACCATCAGCAGGAAATGACAAGAATAGGCAAACATGCACAGCCACTTTCATACACACAACACAAACACTCTGTCACACACTCACCACAGCAGCTTTAGATGAGGTGCAGAGTCACTTAAAAACTGTGTGATGCTCTTGCACGCAGATGCAGTTCAAATATGAAGGAGCACAGGACAAAGTTCTTCATTCTGCTGGATTCATAACTGCATCACTTCCTCCAGCAGCCATGAGACCAAGACACAGTAAAAAGCAAGGTTATCAGGTAAAATGACACATGGTCCGGGAAATAAGACCTCAAGATACACCTTTTGGATTAGCAGGTAACAGTAGGCAGGCAAGCGCAAGATTGTAATCTTTCCCCATCTCGCTGTCCAAGTATAGCTGGTGCTGCAACAGTCAGATATAACGCTGTGGTCTTGTTGTGAAATCATCTTTAAGCTGTTTGGAGGATACATATTAGTATTTTAATTAAATTAGTGTAATAATACTTTAAACAAAAGAGTATAAAATCACACAATTTAATTATATCTAGATACTGACTGATTTAAAAAAGTTAAGCACACATTAATTATCATTGGTCCATCATACACATGTTGTACATTTAAAATTATATATTTTTATGCTTTTAAAGAGCAGTATTAATACTAAAATTATACAATTTTGAATTACTGAATTATAGTTGGATTATTTATTATCATAAACAAATATGGCTAATATTTAGGAAGTCAGTCATATTTGTCCAATTGAGTTAATAACGACAAAACTTTTAGAGTGAAACGAATTGAAGGGTACGTACCTGACTGTACATGTGATGTTGGATGAAGAGCACCTCTGATGTCTCCGTAATTATCCAACAAAATCACTAGAGTTAAAAGAGTCAAAAGTGTTGGAAACGATTAGTTAAACCTAAAGGCGCATTTTATTCGTGGCAAGTGTGAATCCTTGGCAGTGCGTGATTGAATGATGCAGCTGACACAAAATATGGAGAGAGAGAGAGAGAGAGAGAGAGAGAGAGAGAGAGAGAGAGAGAGAGACGAAAACGTAATGAGCCGAGCTTGTACTCGTAATACATGTGGGAATCTTTATTAATTTAACTGGGAATCCTTCGCATTCTTTAAAAACAAGATAATTCCCTGATTCATTCCTTCGGTTGCAACAAGTACTTGCCTCTAAGTATTTTTGTCGTGATTTTTATCAATACATGTTATTTTATCATTACATGTTAATAAATAAATCCAACTTCGTTATTTATTGTGACGTTTGTTTTCGCATAGTGAATTCATGAGTTAATGTATATAATTCGGATACATTTATGTTAAAAATGTCTAACTATGTATTAAAGAGATGCACGTGACCTGATATTTCCATTACAATTGGCCACTCGCGTGTCACGCCCATCCTCGTACCCGCGCTCTTGCCAGCGGGGCATGCACTAAATTCCAGGGGTTTCATTACCACGACGTAAAATGGGCGTGGCTCGGTCGGTGTTTGGGAAACGCCCCCTTAAAAAAAAAAACAATACTGAGAGGTCACCGATCATGCGCAGTACAGGTTCTTTTTTAGCGCGGTCATTTCAAACAGGATGATTATGGATAAAGAACCTACCGCGGTGGATAACGAGGGAAAAAAACAATCATACAGGTTATTTTTTTGTTTTTATAATCTTATATTTTAAAGATTTCATTAGCAAAACCGGCTGACCTCGTTTTACTCCGTTTTTCTGTCTCTGGGCTTTTGTACTTCCATTTTAAACCAAATAATAATGGTTGTGGTAAGATTAACCGTGTTTTTGTAGTTTAAAATATGGTATTCAGTCATGTTTAAACAAATAAATACCACATTTTCTGTAATAAATCGTGGTTATTTTTTCTTACTCGATCTTAGTTAATTAACATAACTCATATTTATTTTCTATTTTTATTTAAAGTCATCATACACAAAACAACTGGGATCAGGACAGGTATCTGATGTTAACTAATATAAAAGTGATCATACATGAAACCCCTGAGATCAGGACAGGTATCTGATGTTAATATATATAAAAGTGATCATACATGAAACACCTGGGATCAGGACAGGTATCTGATGTTACTGTATATAATATAAAAGTGATCATACATGAAACCCCTGGGATCAGGACAGGTATCTGATGTTAACTAATATAAAAGTGATCATACATGAAACCCCTGAGATCAGGACAGGTATCTGATGTTACTGTATATAATATAAAAGTGATCATACATGAAACCCCTGGGATCAGGACAGGTATCTGATGTTAACTAATATAAAAGTGATCATACATGAAACCCCTGAGATCAGGACAGGTATTTGATGTTAATATATATAAAAGTGATCATACATGAAACCCCTGAGATCAGGACAGGTATCTGATGTTACTGTATATAATATAAAAGTGATCATACATGAAACCCCTGGGATCAGGACAGGTATCTGATGTTAACTAATATAAAAGTGATCATACATGAAACACCTGGGATCAGGACAGGTATCTGATGTTACTGTATATAATATAAAAGTGATCATGCATGAAACCCCTGAGATCAGGACAGGTATCTGATGTTAACTAATATAAAAGTGATCATACATGAAACACCTGGGATCAGGACAGGTATCTGATGTTACTGTATATAATATAAAAGTGATCATGCATGAAACCCCTGAGATCAGGACAGGTATCTGATGTTACTGTATATAATATAAAAGTGATCATACATGAAACACCTGGGATCAGGACAGGTATCTGATGTTAATGTATATAAAAGTGATCATACATGAATCCCCTGGGATCAGGACAGGTATCTGATGTTAATGTATATAAAAGTGATCATACATGAATCCTCTGGGATCAGGACAGGTATCTGATGTTAACTAATATAAAAGTGATCATACATGAAACCCCTGAGATCAGGACAGGTATCTGATGTTACTGTATATAATATAAAAGTGATCATACATGAAACACCTGGGATCAGGACAGGTATCTGATGTTAACTAATATAAAAGTGATCATACATGAAACCCCTGGCATCAGGACAGGTATCTGATGCTACTGTATATGATATATAAAGTATTTGACACAAAAGCCGTGGGATCGGGACAGGTATCTTAAGTTATAACAGTATTAATGTAATCTGAGAGGTATCTTAAGTTAATTTGTTTAAAATAGCATACACGTACTTCACATGAAACCCCTGCAAATACGTACAGGTATCTGAATCAAACGGCTGTTTTCACAATCTGCGCATGATCCGTGACCTATGCAAATTCACAGATAGGCCACGCCCACCCGATGACGTAGTAGCGGTTACGCTGTACTGAAACCCCTGGAAAAAAGTGCCTGCCCTATCCAGCGGTCAGAATTCTGGATGTATTGAAAATGGTAAACAGTCCTTTCATCTTTTCATTAGGTCACCCTAAGTAATCCGTAAGTGTCATTGGAATGTGGCGTTTAAATTGTGTAGCTCATTAATTTGCTACATTAAAATGCACTTTATCTGGCTACAAGTTTTGATGGTAAATTAGGCCTAGTAAAAATATTAGCTACCTGAGCAAGCATGACAGTATATAACCTTCGTGTATTTAATGCAGGCCCGTAACCAGCCCAGTGAAAGGGGTGGTTCTTTTTTCTCAAAAAGTGGATTTTTTGCATGTATTCGCCTCGTTAATATTTAATTATGAGATTTAAATATTCCTTTTCGTGATGTTTTTAAGCTGGATTAGCTTGTCAGATCGTGATTAAAACCACACTGTTATGTACCAAAAATATTTAGAATAAATAAAAATAAATAAATACAAATTTATTACATCATATTTCCTTAGAAATAAAATGGGAATAAAATAGAAATAAATTAAAAACTACTATATTGTCAATTGTTATACAAATAACAAATAGTCCAGTACATTTAACTTTCCTTAGTCAGAATTTGGCCCTTTGAACAAGAAAAAAACATAATAATATTAATTAGGGATGTAACAATATTGTAAATACCGTCATACCGCAATAGTATTTTTTTTTCAATATTACCGTAGGCACATGACTCAATAAAACTATATTTCTGAGAAAAGTTTGCTCAGGCGAATGAAGCGAACGGGAGGTAGCGGAAACTACAATTCCCATCAGCCCAGGCGTGGCCATCATCCTTTGCGGTCTGTTGTCACTACAGATCCAGTAATGTGGAAATGGAGTGTGTTGTTAGTAGCGGGGAAGAAAAAGAGCTGGAAATGATCAAATCTAAAGCGGGTTTTAAATCGGATGTGTGGAAGAATTTCGGTTCCTTTCTAAAAAAATACGAAAAAGGAGAAAAGTTGACAGACAAAGAAAAAAACAGTATGCAGGCACTGCCAGACTGTGGTGAAATATAAGTCGGGGAATACGACTGAAAACAGTCATGGGGACTGCAGAACACAGCACACTTGTTAGATTGATGCAGACATTGACTTGTAAGAGACCTCTATCTCACTCATGGCTTGTCCTCTCAAGTAGTGGAAAGACAATGCACAGCGTTACCCACTGCTGTCAACCTGGGCCAAGTCATATCTCTGTCCCAGAAACCTCAGTCCCAAATGAGAGTTTTTTTTTCTGTTGCAGGGGACATGCCCAGAGATCCCAGCTTTTGCCAGATTATAATTATATATGATAATTTTCCTTAAAAAACCCATCTCTATCTAAGTAAGTGAGTGATTAAATGGTGAATGTGATGAGTTTTCAACAATACTAAATTGAAACTTTATTTTTTTATATGGTTTTATAGTTTTTTGGTATTAAAATTGAAAAATTGAAGTTCCTGTTTCAAAACTTACAGATAGATGGCTAATTTGTATGTCATTGATATGTTCAGTGCTAGGGTAAATAAACACTTTTGGCACCTTTTTCGAGTCTTTTCATTAGTTTTGTTTTTACTGTAAATTATTCAATAAATACCGTATCGTGCCATTTATACCGAGGTATTATCGTACCGTGAAATTCTGATACCGTTACATCCCTAATATTAATAGTAATGTAGAATGATTTTTCTAGCCTCTCTTGTGAAAAGTTTTTTAAAATCATAAATAACAATAGTCAAATTAGTATTCAAATTAATTTTAATAAGGGCCACTTTTAGTGCTTCACGCCTTTTTATTGGTCATTTTTTTGTTTTAAGAATAAAGGTCCAAAATTTACAATAATAGTTACTTGTGAAAAAAAAATCTGTATTTAACAACAATACAGTAGGTCAGTAGTGAAAGATGACGTCTCTTACATCAGATTCTTATGTTTTCTTGCACAGCTGGATGTTGGACTGCTGTGACTTGAGCTAATCAGTTTTGGCAAATACAAACAAATATTTTCCATCAAAGCGACATAGGTTCCACTTGGTCTTAAAGTCTTTTTAGATGGGATATTTTCACAATTTATGATGGCATAGCAGTCAAAAAAAGACAAATGAGCTCATGTATGTGACAAATTTTGGACCTTTGTCAGTGAGGGGTGAGTCTTTCGAACCACCCAAACTCCCCTTGGCTATGGGCCTGTAACAATAACACTTTTGTAAACACAGTAAATATAATAAAAAATATCAGAAAAATACACATCCTTTTTTGGATAATGTTGTATAGAGGTTAGAAGTAATAATAAAAAAACACACAGCAAGGCAGAGAAAAAAACCTTGGCAATTTTAAGAATGGAGATTATTAATGTTAAAAATACAATTAAATATTTATAGCCTATAAAATACTAGTGAGTTCTAAACACCAACTGTTAAGCCCTATCCATAAGAAAGTTGTGCAATAGTTGCTGAGCATTTCAGATAAAATGACATATTTTATAAGGTTTAGCGTTTGGATATATTTATGCATTAAACAGCCAGTCATAGACAAAAACTGCTTTTGATCCCACTGTGTGAAAGTTGAATTTTCATAGAGATACCAAAGATGGTGACAGTCAATGATTTAGATACTCTCAAAAAAAATGCTTGTTTTAACCCAAGTTGAAGTTTATTAAATGTTCTTGCTCTACTGATAGGTCTTCTTACCATGACATGTTTGTCAGTTTATAGGATATTATGGGGTTTTAGTATTTATGTTTTTTCCTGACATAATATGCACACACCAACCACTTTATTGGGTACACATTACTAGTACCGGGTTGGACCCACTTTTGCCTTCAGAACTGCCTTAATCTTTTGTGGCATATATTTGACAAGGTACTGGAAATATTCCTCAGAGATTTTGGTCCATATTGACGTGATAGCATCATGCAGTTGCTGCATATTTATCAGATTTATCTATTGGATAGAGATCTGGTGACTGTGAAGGCCATGTAAGTACAGTGAACTTATTGTCATGTTTAAGAAACCAGTCTGAGATAATTCACGCTTTATGACATGGCACACTATTCTGCTGGAAGTAGCCATCAGAAGATGGGTGATCACCATGGTCATAAAGCAATGGACATCAACAGCATCAATACTCTGGTAGGTTGTGGCTTTGATTTGACGCTCATTTGGTATTAATGAGCTCAAAGTGTGCCAAGAAAATATCCCCCACACCATTACACTACCACCAGCAGCCTGAACCATTGATACAGCAGGATTGATCCATGCTTTCATGATGCTGATGCCAAATTTTGACCCTACCAATCAAATGTTTCAGCAGAAATTAAGAGTCATCTGACCAGACAAATGTTTTTTCAATCTTCTATTGTCCAATTTTGGTGAACCTGTGCGAATTGTAGCCTGTTTCCTATTTTTAGCTGACAAGGATGGCACCCGGTGTTATCTTATGCTGCTGTAGCCCATCCGCCTCAAGGTTGGACGTGTTGAGCGTTCAGAGATGCTCTTGTGCATACCTCAGTTGTAACTAATGGTTATTTAAGTTACTGTTGCCTTTCTATCAGCTCAAACCAGTCTGGCCATTCTCCTCTAACCTCTGGCATCAACAAGGCATTTGCGCCCACATTTCAGACCATACTCTGTAAACCCTAGAGTTGGTTGTGCATGAAAATCCCAGTAGATCAGCAGTTTTTGAAATACTCAGACCAGCCCGTCTGGCACCAACAACCATGCCATGTTCAAAGTCACTTAAATCACCTTTCTTCATCATTCTGATGCTTGGTTTGAACTGCAGCAGATCGTCTTGACCATGTCTACATGCCTATATGCACTAAGTTGCTGCCATGTGATTGGTTGAGGAAATTTGCGTTAACAAGCAGTTGCACAGGTACCTAATAAAGAAGCCAGTGAGTGTAAAAGAGAATAGAACAAACTTGTATTACAGCTGATTCTGTCCTCCTCATTTAGCAAATTATGCCAAAAGCTTTACATAATTAACCAAATTCATTTTTGACAGAATCAAAAGTCTTATCATTTATTGTTGACATATTGCCTGAACAATATGCATGTTATAACCATTTTCTAAAATTGATACCCATGTGTCACTTTTTTCCAACTTGCTTCATATCATACTGTAAAACATACAAACATGGTAGTCTTATTAATACTTGTTCATTCAGTGGTTTTGGTCAGTTAACAGAGGTAAATGTCAGTGATTCATTTTTCTGCCTAAAAGATTTGTTAAAACACCCTATTTGAGTAAGTCCAGACCAGACTTGGCACTTGGCTGTCTTGTTAGGCTGCTCCAGTTTTTGAGACACACTCAGAGAGACGTATTGATGATTACTGTGATTTACTTAGATTTCAGACACCATGCCCTCAAACCGTATAATCTTCAGAGAGGTGACATGGATATTTGAAGACTTGATTTGCATTCATTTGCACTGACGTAAACTGAAAATGTTTTATGAATCAACAGCTGATGATATGAAGCGGGTTCATATATCTGCAAAATAATATACATTTTTAATCACCTGCTTCCTGTTATTCATAAGGCCAAAAGTCAATACGCACACACATTTTGGTAGCTCAGTAACAGTACTAGTAATGGCATTTTAGTGCAATTTATGGTCATTTATATTTAAGTACTGTCATGATAAATACCTAAACACTCACAATCGCCCTCTCCTCTATCCGATTACAATCATCTCCCAGAAAATTCAAGGACATTTCAACAAGGGTGATTTAAAAGCTCCAAACAACTGACAGACCGCTATTTCCTTGTTGCTTTACCGACATTAAAATATCACTTTGTTTGATGTTGACAGACGAAAATATAGCCGTGGTACTCTTTCTATTGTGCGATGTGCTCAGATGGCTGAGACGACATTGCTTTGTTCTCTCTGACCAGCCCACCCTTGCCTTTCATCTTGTCTGCCAGCTCACAAGACTGTATTCCCCATCATTAGAGTACTGGTCATTGCTTGTAAGTGCCCAGGTGCGCTGGAGACAGACACACAAGCGCTATATCAAAAGAATGAGGGGTATTTTATTCATAAACTTTGTCCTCATCAGGAAGACAAGTGTTTGGGCAACTGCCGCCGCAAGACAGCAAAAAGCCATGTCTTGCGCTCGTATTATTCCAAAAGCAGCGGTGCTAATCATGGGTTTTGCTTGTCTGAGTGCTACACTGTCTTTAAAGTCATCAAGAGATCTGAGAAGTGTGATCTGCATAATGTAATTCATCACAGGTGCTGCGTGATGAATGTAGTGATGGCCCAAAGCTCATTATGGAGTCTGTCTCTTTTCTCTTCGTCCTCCTCACTGTTCTCTTTGTCGACTACGTGTTAAAATCAGCACTCTAAAATGTGGACTTCACACTACTGTAAATGAATGAGTCTTTGTTTGGCGTTATATACATGTATAATGATGACAAACACAAGACATGGTCACGTATGATCACTTTTGTTTCAGTTTAAATTTAAATTGCAAGTTTTAAAAGGATATTTCACCCATAATTGCCAGTTCTGTCATCATTTAGTCTCCCTTGACTTGTTCCAAACCATTTTGGAACAAATTTCTAATCAATCCAATTACATGCATTACATGATTTTCATGCACAACCATCTCTAGGGTTTACAGAGTATGGTCCGAACTGTGGGCGCAAATACCTTTTTGATGCCAGAGGTTAGAGGAGAATGGCCAGACTGGTTCGAGCTGATAGAAAGGCAACAGTAACTCAAATAACCACTCGTTACAACCAAGGTATGCACAAGAGCATCTCTGAAGGCACAACACGTCCAACCTTGAGGCGGATGGGCTACAGCAGCAGAAGAAAACACTAGAATTCACTCCTGTCAGCTATGAAAAGGAAAAGAAAAGACTACAAGGCTTGGCTCACCAAAATTGGCCGAGAGAAGATTGGAAAAACGTTGCCTGGTCTGATGAGTCTCGATTTCTTCTGCGACATTCGGATGGTAGGGTCAGAATTTGGCATTAACAACATGAAAACATGGATCCATCCTGCTGTATAAACTGTTTAGGCTGGTGGTGTAATTGTGTGAGGGATATTTTCTTGGCACACTTTGGGCTCATTAAGACCAATTGAGCATCGTGTCAATGCCACAGCCTATCTGAGTGTTGTTGCTGACCATGTCCATCCCTTTATGACCACAGTGTACCCATATTCTGATGGCTACTTCCAGCAGGATAATACACCATGTCAAAAAGCGAAAATCTTCTCAGACTGGTTTCTTGATTATGACAATGAGTTCACTGCACTTATATGGCCTCCACAGTCACCAGAGTCAATCCGATTCGCATCATGGATGTGCAGCCAACAAATCTGCAGCAACTGCGTGATTCTATCATGTCAACTTGGACCAAAATTTTTGAGTAATAAGTCCAGTATCTTGTTGAATCTGTGCCACGAAGGATTAAGGCAGTTCTGAAGGCAAAAGAGGGTCCAACCCCCAACTAGTGAGGTGTACCTAATAAAGTGGCGTGTAAATATAAGAGACTTACATTTTCACTCACACTTTGGTTTTTGTAATTCAATTCTTTTAGTTTATGGTTTAAAAAAGTACAAACTTGCATTAAAAAATGAATTCTCAAGAAGTTTAATTTTGAATAAACATAAAATTGACAACATAAGAATCTTTGAGGTGCGCAGTTTACGTTGTTCAACAAAACATCAAAGCATCATCAAGTTGTTTACCACAGACAAAAAAAACAGGAAAACTTCAAACAGCATCACAGCTGCAGCACTTTATCTCTGTATTGTTACAGTCCTTAATGTACAATCTGTAAAATAAAATAAAAAATCTCATTAAGAGTAAATTCAATACATACACCATTAAAAAATGTTGCCCATAAAATATCTGTTTATGACTATTTTGAATAAAATAAAATAAAAATTGCATAGTAAACAAATTAGATAAAGCTCAACAGATACATGTATCAATATACAAAAAGAAAAAGGTAGAAAGAAGAAAAGCAGCGATATAGTCTGGTCAGTAAAGAAGAGTGAAGGTCAGTGCTGTGGTGACGTGTTCACTGAGTGTTTTAGAGAGCCTGCACTCTAGACGCAAACAGCAGCACGTTCTTCTCAACCTCAGCGTTGAGCTCTCGCTGGGAAGCCCTGGGATTTTTCTTCACATAGTCTGCAACACTCTGAATGCACTCCATCTGTGGAAACACGTCATGATTGTGTGAGTCTGGTCTACAATGTGTTCTGATACTCCGTGATAGAGTTGATGGATTAGATTGTGTGGTGTAGAAATAATAATGAACAAGTGATTTCAACATGAATTAAAGAATCATGTACAATTCAGTACAGTATATAAAACAACACAATTATTTTACACCTTTTTAAATTGTATTATGGGACATTCACATACTGTTCTATCTTGTTGAAACTTTTTTCAACAATTTGTGATTTGTATTATTTTTATTTGTCTGATACAGAATATTGCCTAGGTCAGAATTGTGTATTAATACCAAAAAAAGGTTTTGAGCTGCCACTATTTGTTCTGATGTTGTACAGATTTATTTAATTCATTAATTTTCCTTCGGCGTAGTTCCTTTATTAATCCAGGGTTGCCACAGCAAAATAACCCACCAACTTATCCAGCCTATGTTTTACACAGCGGATTCCATTCAGTGAACACATTTTTGTAAAATGAATTAAATATTCGACCTGTAGTAAATTATAAAGTAATAAGTGATTTCACAGATAAGTAAAAAAATATAAAAACGATAAAGATTGACAGTAAAATTGACAATCAGTATTTTAGGGTTGTATGCAGGGTATCCGCTGGCTTTTAAAAAGTCTTAAATCTACTGAAATGTTGGGTTGTAGATCTTAAATCTTTTTTTGTTTTGTTTTTCTTTTTTTAGTTTTTTTTACTTAACTTTTCTTTGTTCATGTATAGCTACCCCATTTGGCCATTAACACCAATGCAATCACCAACAAATTCAAGTGATATCTCGGTAAAACGTTTAACTTTTTATTTAACAATAGCATTTAATAACTTTCCTTATAACAGTAACATTTGTTTAAAAGTTCTCCATTTAGTACAGGGGATACTGACCTGATCTAGACTTTTCATTGTTAAATTATTATTATTGTATTATTAAATGTATTCAATTATAATTATTTTTAAAGGGCAAATGAAAATATTTTTTCCAAATAAGATATTCAAATAAAATCTTTAGCATTTACTCCTGTATAAGTCAAAATTTTTATTCATAATGGTCTTAAAATGTCTTTAAAGGTCTTCAATTTAACTTGGTGAAACCTGCAGAACCCCTGTTTATGATATGTCATAAAATGATACTTGTGCTGAATCTTGTACTGCAATTACTGACTTTGTAATATGTGTCTTCTGTAAATCGTGGTAAAGATGAAGGACAGTCCTTTCAGCTGTATCACGTTTTATTGATTTTTTTACTAAATAAAAGCCGTTTTATTCTGTAATGACATGTGAAAAGTGCTTTACAAATAAACGAATAAAAATAGCTAAAGTAAAAAAAAATCACTATCAGTGATAGTGTTCACTTGTAATTTACATTAACTTTTAACTAACAACCTTTAATAGCAACACTTTAAAAAGCAGTTTAATTAACAATTAAACATTTTTCAAACATTCTCAAAAGCGTAAGAAAATAATCTGTCATGATTTCTGGCTTGTGGGTTACAAGAAGTTAGTTACCCTTGCCTAGGCTCAACATCAAATCACTTTACAATCACAGTAAATTTTAGCAAGACACCAGTAAAAAGCAAATGCATCAGTTCTAAGGTTCTTACCCTGTAAGCATCTATTCTGCTTTGCCCAGAGAGTCTGTCCAGCAGCTCCCGGCCGACCTGCAGCCCGGTGACCGCAGTGAGAAAATCCTTACACTGGGCACTGTCGCTCTTCAGCCAGCCGAGCAGAGCCAGCTGAAACCAACAAATGCGTCGGTTTCAACATATCAGAGAATTATTTGGTAGAATTATGAAGCGTACTTTTAAAAAAGTACGATATTGTGATTTTAATGATATTATGTTATTGATTTTATATGATACACGATGCTTTATATGCTGAATTATTTTGAACAGTACATCTGTTTGACTCACCTGCTGAATTAACTGAGCATCTGTCATCCCGTTTGACTCCGCCATAATAACGCACTTCTTAATAATAAAAAGAAATGCAGTAACGTTACGTGGTAATTAAGGTATATTAAACAGTTCAGTTAAATTTTAGCGTATTAGCTCCGCTGCCACCGCTCGCACAATCTTCCTGTTTACACTGAAGTTTGTTCTTGTTCCGCAAGGAAAAAAACAACACATTTCGCAATTGCGCCCACTAACGGACTGGCTAGTCATTACTCGAGGTTTCTCTACTACGTCAAAGTGTAACAAATATAGGCTATATTCATTAATATAAACAAGTTTTTTTTTTATTTGTTTCTTTTTTAAAAGTTATTGCTATTAAAAGAAATACTGAATAGCAAAAAATCCCCCGAACAGATCACCATTTTATACTTTTTCCGCCTCTTAAAAAATGGAAAGCTTAGTGTTAAATGAATACAACCCATGTTCATTCATTAATTTTCCTTCGGCTTAGTCCAACTTATCCAGCATGTGGTTTACACAGTGGATGCTCCTCCAGCTGCAACCCATACTGGGAAACACCCATACACACTCATTCACACAAACACTACGGCCAATTTAGTTTCTTTAATTCATCTATAGTGCATTTTTTTGTACTGTGGGGGAAACCAGATCACCCAGAGGAAACCCACACGAACACGGGGAGAACATGCAAACTCCACACAGAAATGCCAACTGACCCAGCCGAGGCTCAAACAAGCGACCTTCTAGTGCAGGGGTGTCCAAACTCGATCCTGGAGGGCCAGTGTCATAGAGAATTTAGCTCCAACTCTAATCAAGCACACCTGAACCAGCTAATCAAGGTCTTACTAGAAATACTAGAAACTTTCTGGCAGGTGTGTTAAAGCAAGTTGAAGCTAAACTCAGCAGGACACCGGCCCTTCAGGATCGAGATTGGACATCCCTGTTCTAGCAACAGTGGCAATGACTGAGCCACCGTGTCACCCCATCCCATGTTCAGTAAAAGTAACTTGGAAGAGAAAAAATAAGCTGTTAGAGTACATAACTAACATTAGTTACAATCAGCTGAAAATTAGGTATTTTTGTTGTTGTTAAAATCAGTATGACCAAAAAGTCGCATCACATCTTTAGTAGCATGCAATCATTTAAGCAACAGGACAACTTTTAAGTTTGGGAGTACATTATTATCTGTTTTTAAAGTTTTACAGCAAGGAACCAGTCAAAAAACATAAATGTGTGTTCATAAACACCTGTCCAACAGATAATAGATACCACAAACACAGATTAACCTCTAAACCATAAGTATCAAACTCAATTCCTGGAGGGTTGCAGGTCTACACAGTTTTGCCCCAACCCTATCAAACACAGCTGATCCAAACTAATGGAGGTTTTCATGACTCTTTTGAACACCTCGATTGTTTGGATCAGCTGTGTTTGATAGGGTTGGAGCAAAACTGTGTAGACCTGCAACCCTCCAGGAATTGAGTTTGAGACCTATGATCTACACTGTCGACATTTATGAGATTCAAGCAAAAGTAACTTTGAAGATATTTCAGTCAAAAATGATACAAGTTTATTAGAGCAGTGTTTCTCAACCACATTCCTGGAGGATCACCAGCTCTGCACATTTTCTAAATCTTCTTAACACACCTGATTCAGATAATCAGTTCATCAGCAGAGACTGAAACACCTGTTATGGGTGTGACAGAAACATGCAGTGTTGGTGGTCCTAAAAGAGCGTGGTTGAGAAACACTGTAATGGAGTATAATGATGTAGCAGCAAATAATCATTAAGGCAAAGTTGGTTTTATATTCATACATTCGTTTAGTAATACCTTGCAACAGGCTCCCTATACTGTTTACCATGGTAATTTAAATATAACTGAAATCACATGTAAATTAAACATGACTTAAAACAACATTAACAATATTTAATTGACTGTGAACAATGTTGTACATTGATAGTCATTGGCAGCTAATATGGTTTCACTACTAGCATTATGCAAAAATACTTTTCTGAAACTGTATTATTAAGGAGAAAGTCTGAACGTGTGAACATAAAACCAACTTAACCTAAATAATCTTAGTTTTGAACCCGCCAACTACAACACTGTGTAAAAACTGTAACGAGTTGTCACCTAAAACATGCCTTTACATTGTAAACATCCCTGAGAACAGTACGAATCTAGTTGGTCTTGGCTTTTTATGAAGGCTCCAGCCAAGAAAGTGATTTCCCATAAATAATATTACAAAACAGAAAAGATGGCATGATCAACAGAGTGGTCAACTGTCCTCTTTCAACTTGCTGAATGATCCCAGTTGTTTTGTGTTTGCATCTTTAAGCAGTTCAAGCTGGCGTTGGGCTCGGCGATAAAGGTATTCTATGTGCATGACGTCCGTCTTCTTGATGGCTGCGTTGGTGCGAAATTCATCTCGTATTCTGGGTATGAAGCCGGGTTTGTCCTGTGCTGCCCGCAGAAACTGTCGATACAGTGCTAATACCTGCTTCTGGAGTTTGCTGTGGCGCACCATAATGTGCTGAATCATAAACTCACAGCACTGTTGACTGAATGGACCGCGGAGACTTCAGCCTGTGAGGGGAATAATGTAGTCACTAGTCAGTGCATTGTATTGTAATTCATAAGACCCTGTGTGTGCATCTTTGATAAGCAAATGGGTCATGGATAGTATATTTCAATAACACTCTTTAAGTTGTACTTAATGATTAGTTTTGTTTAATGATCTCATAATGAGAGATTACATATATTGTTGAATTTTTAAAGATGTTTTTGTGACATTTCGATTGTGTTTGTAAATCAGTTCTGTTCTCTTGTTGTTCTTGAGCAATTATTGACATTTTTTAGCATAAGCTTAAAACTTATACAATGCTCAGCATAGTCGAGTATACCCCATTTTGAAAGTGAATATTTTTATCCATTTTTCAGTGAATATAGGCATGTATTTTGGTGCATTTAAACAAAAAAGATTTATTAAACAGATATGTTTATTAAAGTAATATTTTAGTTACCAAACATATTTAGAAATTAAAAGATAATACAATTAAATAAAAAAAATACAACCTACAAAATTTCAACTAATCCTTTTAAATAATTTTGTTTTTGTTTTTCTTGTTTTTTCCTCTTTTTTAAATTTGTATTTAATATTTTTTTATAACATATACATTTGGGTGTACTAGTTTTTACGACGGTTATCATAAGTTATCCTGTTAGATAAGCTCAAGATTTGGTTCCAGTACTGGCTAATCTAATGTATAAGCACAAATACAATATTGTATAGCTTCTTAATAAAAATATGAATTTAAAAAGTAGATTTGTGAGTGGGTGTACTTATATCTGCTGAGCACTACACTAGGCATGGGACAGTAACAGTTTTCAAGGTATACCGCGGATTGAAAAAGTCAAGGTTTTAAAAAAACATTCTTAAGGTATATGTGTAAGATTTTTTTTTACGTTTATTTGTTGTTTTTTAGGACAACAGTATCTCCAGCAGCAACGATATTCAAAGATGTCATTTTAAAAAGTGAAAAATCTGTGTTTTTGAAAGTAATAAAGACAGCAGAAGTCAATGAGTGATTTGAATTATTATCAAATTAAAATATATTGTGTTCAAAGGGGATAAAAGTTGTCGTTTTTTTATACCCAGACATTTAAAAAGAACATATTTTAGAGAGGACTCACAATATCGTGAAACCATTATATTATTATCCAAGGTTATCATACCGTCAGAATCTTTTACCGGTCCATGCCTACTGTATACATAAAAAAGTATACAATTTAACATTATATTGAAACATCTGTTTATATTTTCCTAAAGAACTAACCACAGTTCTGTGTTATTGAATCAGAAAAATATCAATCAGTAAACGTATTTTTATATTTTAAATGAGAGAAATAAACATGTGTTATGAATGTGACCAAAAAAGTCTGCGAGTTTACAGTATAGAACATATTTTGTTGCAATTCTGTGAATTAAACAGCACAACCCAAAATAAATAATGCTAATCAAAAAGATAAGAGTTGGCTGCAAGAACAAACATTATTGATTTTGTTTTATTTTACATTTTTTTGTATTCATGAGAAAAAAAAACTTTGTTATGGATGTGACAGATGTGTATCTGCCACTTTTGTGATTATGGTAAATTAAATATAAATGTTTGAAAACACTGCCAGAGACATGTTTGAGTATTTTATTGTAAAATAAAAGCCTGCACAAAAAAAACGTAGAAAGGGTTTCGCTATTTTGGTGGAAATTTTTTTTTAATGCCATGGTTGACAATTGCATGGAATTGCTCTCATTTTGTTAACTTCATTTTCAAATATAAAGATAAAAAAATATCCAGGAAACCTTTTAGCAGTTTTGGTGCAAATTTTGGTGAGCGACAAATTGCACATATAGAGGTAAAGTTGGTTTTATATTCGCACATTCAGACTTTCCCCTTAATAATAAAATTTCTTTTAAGTATTATTTGCAAACTCCAAACAGTGAAATTATATCAGCAGCCAATGACTATCAAAGTACAACATTGTTCACAGTGAAATAAACAGTCTTAATGTTGTTTTCAAATAATATTTGCATGCCAATTCCGATCGAATATTCAAAGTAACATGGTAAATAATATAGAGACTTTTAAATGAACGAATGTGTGAATGTAAAACCAACTTTACCTCTAGTTGGCACATGGCACTGTTCACACTTAATCAAATAAACTGTGATAATAAGTTTATTAGGTCTTAAATTAATAATTAATAGGTCTTTAAAAAACTAATTAATCAAACCAAAATCTACTAAGTTAGTATAAAAGTTCATTCACACTACAGGTGCTTTTCCCATTGGTCAATTCTGAAAATCTGATATCTTTCATAACATCTTTTTTTTTCACTACTAAACATAAATATTTAAGTATTTTACACTTGATCTATTTGTATTGTATTGAGTGAAACAAATGATATTTTGTGGTATATGTGTTTATAGTTGAACATGACTAGATTTTAATTCAAGGAACTATCCGGAGAAAATCATTTTGGGCATAATAGGCCATTTCACTTCAATCAATATTCTGAAGTTTTTTCTTTTTACAAACAATTCCCCTGATTTATATAGCACTTATTTATTTGTTTTGACCTTTTTATGTGGAGTGATGAGAAACAAAGGAGACAAGAATTGTGAACCAAAAATTGCATTACCTAAAACATTTTTTTTTTAAATTATAACCTTAATAATTCAAAATTTAGTAAAAACATGTTATATGTAGTCTCTCAATTATTATGATGAAGGACAATGATTAACGTTAGTAAACAATTCTGATGGCATGTCATGTCAACACCAAACACTCTTAGCACACTATACTTCACATACAAATAAACAAAGGTAGCTAACGTTAATAAACGACACTTTACCTTGTCAGTTACAGCGCTTAATTTCATTCATTCCTTGTCTGCTGTATATGTTTAAACTTAAAATAGAGGTCTTCTACACAACGACCGCAGCAGTCACAAAAATATGACCTGTGTTTCCTAACTCATGCTGTGACGTTATAAAATGCAGTAATAGTCAGATATACTGACATCTAGCGGTCAGGCTGAACAGCAACACAATCAACAAAGACCAGCCAAAGTTCAGTGTTTATCCTTTATTTAGATATAAATAGACTATAACAGCAGGCTATACCAAGTTATTAAAGTCTATGTTGCGACTGCAAAATACATATATTTTATATTTACTATTGGATTACAAAACAGACACGTTCACATTTTCAAGACATTAATAAGTCGAGTTTTTCAGTCAAATTTGTGTCGAGTCTAAAGTCCTTGTGTTAATTTTATTATAACAGTACATGCTACAGACTAACTTAATGCAGCATATTTAATATACAGTGCTCAGCATATATAAGTACATCCCCACAAATCTCTCATTTAAATGTATATTTTCTATAGGATGCTTTACAATATTATAATTGTGTGATTAGTCAGTACTGAAGCCAAATCTGAAGCTAATCTAACAAAATAACTTATAATTATGGTTCGAAAATTAGTAGCCAAATGTATATGTTAAAGAAAAATATTAAATTAAATAAAAAAAAATCAAGAAAAACAAAAAATAGAAAAAATTTAGTTGAAATGTTGTAGTCTGTACTTTTTTTTTTTTTTTGCAATATTTTGCATGAATTTAAATATATTATCTTTCCATTTATAAAGATGTTTTTTGACTAAAATAATAATATATATGTTTAATAAATTTGTTTATTCAAATACACATATATATAGTACCCATATTCACTGAGAAATGGATATTTATTTTAAAACATTCATGCTGAGCACTGTATGTTAATTGTGTATTGCTAAAGTATTTTCCTGAACATTAACTAATGCTTATCTATAACATTTTGAATTAATGGTCCATAAGTGCTAAGGAGTCTAAAACATTTATTTAAAAAAATACAAATAATAATAATATAAAAAAATATTACTGCTTCAAATAAAAAAAATTAAATTGGATTACAATAATCTAATAAATATAAAATATATAGATAAAATAAATAATAAATTAAGAATATTTTTTAAATTAACTATTGCTTAGAATAAAAAAGGATTAAGGTAAATAAATAAACAATGTTCAAACAAATCAGTAAAATTAATATTTGAAAAAATTACTAAGAAAATAAATTTGTCCAAAAATGTATAAATACGACAACATGGTGGCATAGTGAGTAGCACATTCACCTCACAGCAAGAAGGTTGCAGGTTCGAGCCTCAGCTAGGTCAGTTGACGTTTCTGCGTGGAGGTTGCATGTTCTCCTCGTGTTTGCATGGGTTCCCTCAGATGCTCCGGTTTCACCCACAAGTCCAAAAACATTTGATTTAGGTGAATTGGGTAGGCTAAATTGTCCGTAGTGTATGTGTGTGAACGAGTGTGCTGTTTCCCAGGGATGGGTTGCGGCTGGAAGGGTATCCGCTGCAAAAAACATGTGCTGGATAAGTTGGCGGTTCATTCCGCTGTGGCGACCAAGTAATTAATAATAAGACTAAGCCGAAAAGAAAATGAATAAATATATAAATTCAGTACAGCTAACAGTACAGTAAACTAATAGAAACTATAATCATTCAAAAGTCACTTATTAGAGGTCGCAACGGTACTGGGAAACACCCATACACTCTTGCATTTACACACGCATTCATATACTACAGCCAATTTAGTTCATCCAATTTACCTCTAGCGCATGTCTTTGGACTGTGGGGGAAATCGAAGCACCCGGAGGAAACACACAAGAACACAGGGAGAACATGCAAACTCCACACAAAAACCCCAAATGACCCAGCTGGGACTTGAACCAGCGACTTTCTTGCTGTGAGGTGACAGTGCTAACCACTGAGCCACCGTGCCGCCCACAAACTATAATATTAAAATAAGATTTTCAAACCCTTTATAATTTTATATCTTTTATGGTATCATTTGTCTTTACATAAGAACATTTCAGGTACCTTAGATCCACAGCATGAAATTAAATCAAAACGCCTATTCCAATAAAAGTAAATTGGGTTTTACTTTAATCAAAATGCCATATTTTTAGACCCTTTACTAACCCATTATATCCACAGCATCAAATAAAAGCAAAACTCTTATTTTAAAGGAAAGTACATTGGGTTGTACATAAATCAAAATGTCATATTTTTATATTTTTATTTTACCCTTTGTTATTTAACCCATTATAAGAGACAATCACTACTACCCTCTCAGTAAATGCCACTCAGTAAAATAATCATCATTTGTGAACGAAAAAAAAAACAAACCTAAAAAAGCTGCATTATTCAAAGGTATTCAGATCTGAAGAGTCTCTCTGTTGAAGCACAAGTCAAGTCTATGTCAAGTCTGAAGTCAGAATTTTTTGCTACTTAAGTACGACTTTCCATATCTTTCAGAAAACTATATAATCAAGACGTGATTGAACATTTAGCTACTAGAGATTACAGACTGCTCTTTTGAGAAAATGTTTGTGAGATTAAATATATTAAATATGATCAGAACTGTTGTAGCATTATAGAGCTTCATTGTAGTGCATAGTATAATAATCTCTTACATAGCATCAGGTTCACATCCATTCCTGAGCTTATCTACTTTGCATTCTGTTGATATTATTGCACAGTTATCGAACAGATGAATAAACATTGGTAAACTTTTTTGGCACAGATAGTTATATTATTTAGTCTATATAGTGCATTGCTAGATAGCAGAACTATCTGAAGGCACAGTACCAATTGACTAACATGGCAGAAAGTCTAAAGGTAAGCATATGTGAGGATACAAGATGGCAGCCTGAGAATATACAGTACATCACGCATCTCTGAGAACACATTGATTTTCAGATATCCTAAAGCAGTGCAGCTGAGGTATCGACCGCGGCAGATGTAATATTATAGCCGCAGATATTCAGCCAAGAAAACCACCAGGATTTTGGTGAGATTCTCCACAGTGTGTCTGTGAATCTTGTCTGCCGTGTCCTCCATCGTGTGCAGGAATGAAGGGAACGGTGTTGCGATCAAATGTAGCACTGGTACTCCTGCGTTCATGAATGGAAGATTCATATAGTCAGTCCTACAGCAAAATACAGTGCTCTTATTGACATTGACTCTTATTTTGAAAATGGGACAGGCTTTAAGAAAGAGTAAGCTACTCGAGATGCAGACAGCAAACCACAAAGCATCTAGATTATACATTTATGGATTTTATATGTATTCAGTGCCACCCACAAGTGGCATAAAGTCTGTTTAAGTGAAGTTTATTTATGAATGAATTTCGAGAGGAGCACATGATTATGAATGATCACAACTAGTCCCGCATTAACTAACACATGATTCACAAATCAGATGATTCCTTACCTATTATAAATACCCAGAGTTGCTTACTTTAGTTATCTTCGCTTTGAAGAATCCCCATTTCCAACTCTACTCCTCCAACTTTTCCTTTATAGGCCAGCATGGCGGCCCAGTGGTTAGCACTTTTGCCTTAAGCAAGAACATCACAGGTTCAAATCCTTAACAGGGCAGTTATGCGGAGTTTACATGTTTTCCCTGTGCTCGCTTGGGTTTCTCCTGGGTTCTCCCGTTTCCTCCCACAGCCCAAAAACATGTGTTCTAAGTGAATTGATCAATCTAAATTAGCACTATAGTTAAGCTCTTAACCGGCAGTATATCTCTATATAGCAATTTATAATCTGTCATCAGCTCTAAATAAAGGAGGAGTTCATGAGACCTACCAGAGCTTAAACTACCCTCTCGCCCTGCAAATGTGAGGGAGCCCCGGGCTCGAGGGCTCTCTCCCAGGACGGCATGTCAAACTCGCTCATCAGCTAAGTGCGAGCTCTTGAAATGTATGTTTTGTTAGTTTAATGTGTATATTTTGAAAATTGCTGCTCATGTTTGTAATGAGGCAGCAAACACATGTAAATGGCTGTTTAAAGCACGTTTATGCATCATGTCATATCACTCAGCTCTTACTGTTATTTTTCTCGAATGAAAAGACACTATTGGAAGTTGATATCTGTCACAACACACTATTAGGATGATTGTTCAAACTAGGCATGGGCTGGTTTATGATTCTGATGGTATGATAACCATGGATATATATATATATATATATATATATTACTGTTTCACTGTATTGTGATTACTGCTCTAAAATCTGTTCTTTTTAAATGTCCGGGTAAAAAACTAAATCTTTATCACCACTGAACAAAATATATTTATTATTACTGTTTAGGTCTATAACATGCTGGCATGTTGGTTTATAAGAGATTTGTTTTTCAGATTTCCTGAATCGTGAGCTGACCAGTAGATTTTGAAACTAAAAAACTAAAAATATTGGTAAAATACTATAAAAGAAAATAATAACTGACATATACACAAGGAATGGTATAACAGAACATTTTTGTGGTATTAAAATCTTGACTTTTTCAAACTGTGGTATACTTTGAAACCGATTATGGCCCCATGCATAGTTCCAACAGCCAAAAAATCTCCAAGAATTACTGCTGGAGAATTGTAAAAGATCTTGGGATTATAAAGTCTCCGAAACAATCATCTGACTTTACCTGCATCATTGCAAACCATAGGGTTTTATGAAAAAAAAGCCTCTACATTCATTCAAATCTCGATCATAATTTTGGTAATATTTTGCACTAAAAATCAAGAGGCTATGCTATAAAGACATTTTTTACAACCTTTTTTTGTTCATATTTAACAAGGGTGCCAATATTAGTGGAAGACGCTGTTCTGTCCCAGCAAACATTTTTGGTTTTTTATGACGTCTAATAGATGTCTAAAAGACATCTAAATATAGTCGTTATGGCTAAAACAAGACTAAATTTGATCTGTCAGAGAAAATCTAATAGACACCTAAGCATAGGCCAAAACTAGACTAGTCATCAAATAAACAAATAAATGACTACACATGTAAAGTCTGTCTAATCTGTCTATTTAATGACTAGTCTAGTTTTGGGCTATTCTCAGATGTCTATTAGATTTTCACTGAGAGCCCAAGTTTAGCCTTGTTTTAACCAAGCTGCTTACGTTTAGATGTCTATTAGACGTCTATTAAACACAAAATTGATTGCTGGGGTAGGATATGTTGGTCACATTAACATCTTACCTCTCTGAAGAAAAGGAAGATGATCATCTTCGACTGGGCCCATGTTCATATCCTTGATAAAATACCTCTGCTCTTTGGGATGGGAAGACAGGAGCCCCAAAGTGTGAAGTCTTTTCTCTTAAAAATCCAGAAATATAAGTAAAAGAGATTAAAAATCAAGGTGATGTTTAGACTTTAATACCTATTAATAGGGCCTATAGCTATTTACAAGAAATTATCAGGACTTGATGACATAGTATGTAACTTTGCTGTGCATATTAAGAAGCATAACATAATTTAAACACAATTTGATGACACCATGACTAAGTGTGGAATCATGGGAGTTGTCATCTTCATTATATCCTAAGAGGCTTCTGCAAAAATTGTTCAAAGATGAGCATTCAAAACTGATGAGATGAGTATTCAAAACTTATTATCATGGCAGTATTAAGCAGATTAAGGATGAAAGCTGTTGTATTTCTAAGACTAAAATTGTACATGTTGTGCTTTTAACAATAGTGCTCAGTCAAGAAAAGTGGATTATTTTAGGGGATAATATGTGAAAGAGAATGAAGATGCCTGACAAGATAAGTAACCTATTTAAAACATTAAACTACATAAATTTCATTGAGAAAGTCTCTGATTTTATTACATTATGTGTATATGATTAGTGATAATAGATAATATATGAGCAGTTACAAAACTACACACAAAGTAATGCACAGAACTAGCATACTAACTTGTATATATTTAATTCAAACTATAAAAAAAAACTTGATAGTATCTCACTAATACTAAAATAACATTAAATGTTGTGAGCACTCATTTATTTTATTCAATACTCCATATTCTTCACAGAATTTTTCTTTAATCTTAAAATATGGACAAAAACTTGGTAAATGTAATGTCCTTTTTAAAGCAAGGTAACAAAGCAAAGGTGGCAGGTAGTTTCTACTCCAGTTTCAGTCATTGCAAATCAAACATTAGTTTTTAAACACTATTAATGAGTAACCAGTATTACTTTAGTATTAATGGAAAGTCAAATCAGCTTTACCAGCAGCGATTAGGCGGTCAAACCAACGAGCTGTGTTGTCAAAGTGATTCACAAACATAGGGTCAGCAGCACCAATCAGATCCAGAAGGACAAGGAGATCCTGCAAATAACAGTCATTACTCAATATATTTATATTTCATAAACAATACATTCATAGTTATTTAAAGAGATAGTACACACAAATTTGTATTTACTCATCTTCATATTGTTCTAAACCTGTATGACTGTATTAACTGGAAGATATTTTAAACACTGTTTTGGTCTATAAACTTTAAATTCCATTTACTTTCGTTGTATACACAGTTTTAAAACTTATTAATTTCTGCCATACAGCTATGCAAAGCTATGAGGATGATACTTGATAATGGAATGTTAATGTTAAGTGAGTTCATCACCATTTACTTCATTTTATTCAATAAATCACCAGAGAGCTATTTAGCCATAGTTTAGCAGTTTTTGTTTATAAATATATACACACATACTGTACATACACTAACCGACGACTTTATTAGGTACACCTTAGTAGTACCAGTTGGACACCCTTTTGCCTTCCGAACTGCCTTAATCCTTCGTGTCATAGATTCAACAAGGTATTGGAAATATTCCACAGAGATTTTGGTCCATATTGACACAATAGCATCACGCAGTTGCTGCAGATTTGTAGACTGCACATCCATGATGTAAATCTCCTGTTTCACCCTCTCCCAAAGGTGCTCTATTAAATTAAGTTCTGGTGACTGTGGAGGCCATTTGAGTACAGTGAACTCATTGTCATGTTCAAGAAACCAGTCTGAGAGGATTCACGCTTTATGACATAACACATGACCTGCTGGAAGTAGCCATCAGAATATGGATACACTATGGCCATAAAGGTATGGACATGGTCAGCAACAATACTCTGGTAGGCTGTGTGGTGTTGACACGATGCTCAATTGGTAATAACGGTGGGCCAAGAATATATTGTCACACCATTACACCACCACTTCCAGCATGAACCGTTGATACAAGCAGGATGGATCCATGCTTTCATGCTGTTGATGCCAAATTCTGACCCTGCCATCCAAATGTTGCAGCACAAATCGAGACTCATCAGACCAGGCAACAGGTTTCCAATCTTCTATTGTCCAATTTTGGTGAGCCTTTGTGAATTGTAGCCTTAGTTTCCTGTTCTTAGTTGACAGGTGTGACACATGGTGTGGTCTTCTGCTGCTATAGCCACACCTTACTATAACTCGGCTGTAACAAGTGGTTACTTGAGTTACTTTTGCCTTTCTATATGTGATTGGCTGATTTGAAATTTGAGTTAACGAGCAGTGGGACAAGTGTACCTAATAAAATGGCCTGTGAGTGTGTGTGTGTGTGTGTGTGTGTGTGTATGTACACAGAGAGGAAAGCGTAACCTGCATGACATATACTCATAATTGCACAATGTTTTCCAGAAATATGGTGTTTATGATAAAAGATATGGGGCATATGTAGAGGAAAAGAGTGTATCGCCACTAGCAAAATGAGTTGAATGTAAAGTAAATTTTTTCTGTATGTTTCACCTGTTATAGTGACGACTGTAACATGACTATTCACACTGGATTTTGTATCTCTACAATGCACGTAAACAACCTTGATGTCAAGACAACATCAACTTGACATCTAATATGGGCATCAAAAACACATAAAATCAATGAAAGAACAGTCCTGTAAGTGATTTTTGATGTGTTGATCGACATCAATTTTAGATGTTAATTTCATGTTATTTTGACATCAAGGTAGTCGATTTACATTAAATCTATTTGCATTTTAGAGTGTTTTTGAATGGACTGCTGGGTTTTTCTTTTTCAAAATGTACTATCCCTTTAAAAACAACAAAACACACACACAGGCACATACACATTCATGTCATCTTACCACGGCATTGAGAAGTGTGGTTTGTTCAGATCCCGGTGGATGAGGAATGCTGGACATGTATTCTGCGAGATGCCGTGAACCATATAATGAGTCTGTCGGAGACCACTGCTCGAACGCCTCTCCTCCATCAAAGAAGACCAGCTGAAGGGTCACCCTGGACATCTTCACAAAAATAAAGTGAACAGACAATCAAATCACACACAAAAATCAATCAAATGACACTGCTGCAGGACCCTGTTTACCAAACTAAAATCATGGCCATTTTACTTCCACATTGAATGAGGAGGAAGTTGTTTTATTATTATACTAAACTTTGCAAATAAAATCAATAGCAAGTCCCCAAGGATGAGAAACTTGATATTCCACAGCTGCTATGTAGGTTGCAACGATCTTCTCTCCTCATCAAAACCCTTTCCAGTCTTGCAGTGTTTTGTAGCTGCTGGCACTGGTGCAAGTTAAACAACAGATCTGACTCTGAATTCAACAGCACTGCAGCTATTCAGAAGTCTGGAAAAAAAATGAAGGGACCTCCTCTGAGACTTGCACAGCTCTCTTCATTTCAGGACAGCATGAGCTACTAATGCACAGTGGTGGACGAAAAACACAAATCAAGTGCTTGAGTAAAATGACCCAATAAAGCATTGGTCCAGTAAATACATTCATTTTCAATTTGAATAGTGCTCATTTTCAAGGTAGTTAAAATACTGATTGATGAATGAATGTTTACGTAAGACATTTTACATAACATTACGTTTAGTCACTCTTTCTTCCAAAGTGACTTACAATTGAGGAGGCATTCAGTGATTCAACCACAAGAGGCTGCACACACAAGAAGTGTCAATACAAAGGAACTGATAGTGCTCAGAAAATAACGCTAGAGTAAGAAATGGGGAGTGTTTTGTTAAAAGAGAGAAAAGTTTTGCTACAGGTGGTTTGTCAAGCCCACTTGCCTGTATGAAACACACTTCATAAATGCAAGTAATTGTAAAAAAGTGTCTGGTGCAAATGTGCAAAGACCGGTTAAAGTGTCAGAGAGATGAAAGAGTGTTTTCTACAGGTGATTTGTCAAGCCCACTCACATGTGTGAGGCACACATTTTATTGTATTACAGTATGTGTGCAAACAAGTGAAAATAACATTTATTATATAGCAGCACTAGTAAAAACAAAAACAGACAACAAATACATTGAAAGCAACTTATATTACGATTTAAGAGAAATGCTAGGTTTTTTTTTTTCAAATTCCAGATTTTCTCATTTTTTTCTTCTTTTTCCATGTTTTTATGCCTAAAATAAATGTGATTAATATAAAGGATTTTCATTTAACTGAAAATTTAATCAGATATGTTTAAATGAAATGACTTTGTTATATTATTTATTTGAATTTCTATGATAATTTTTGTGCAAGTTTTTCTGAAGATTATAAAAGAAGTTTTCTTTTTCCATTAAATTCCATTTTATTTCTGGTCAAATTAAACCATGTAAATAAATGTGAAGTTATTCTTTAAAAAAAAAAGAAAGTATTACTCATTATTTAATTAAATATAGCACTAATAGCAGATAGTGCTGTACTTCTATAATATTTAAAATAATAACTCCTAAAATTGGGTGTAACATCAGACTTTAAGAATCTCATATTCTTTACTAATTTGAGCCTCACATGTAAATTCAGGAAATTGTAACTTGTCAGTTTCACAAATGAGTCATTTAATGCAATTTGTAAAGCACAGGCATGTAGCCAGGAGAGGTTTGGGTGGTTCGAATGACCCACCCCCCGCTGACAAAGGTCCAGAATTTGTCCCATACATGAGCTCATTTGTCCTATTTTGACTGCTATGCCATGATAAATAGTGAAAATAACCCATGAAAAAATGGCTTTAAGACCAAGCAGAATCGTCTTTTGAATGTCGCTTTAAAGTGAGTTCAGCTAATTTTTCATGAGTCCAACATCCAGCTGTGCAAGAAAACATACAATCTGACGTAAGTGACGTCATCTTTTACTACTTACATACTTTATTGTTGTTAAATAGAGAAAACATTTCAGAAGTCATGTTTATTCTAAATCCTGGGCCTCTTTCTTATAACCTAAAAATGACCAAAAAAAAAAAAAAAAAACGTGATACACCAAAAGTGGCCCATATTAAAGTTAATTGTAATACTAATTAGGCTATTGTTGTTAAGTAGACAGGCTAGGGAAAATATTATTTTTTAGCATTTTATTTTTATTTATTATCAAAGTTGTGCTGGCTAGTTAGCTATTTGAATATTAAATAACAATAGGCCACAGTTTTTCATTGAAATCTTTACCAGATTCCTATTTTTTGCTATTGATATATGATGTAATACATTTGTATTTTTTTAAGTTGTTTTTTCTTCCATTTCTTTATTTTAAATTTTTTGGAAATATTTTTGGTCTATGTGGTTAAGATCACCATGCGACAAGCTAATGCAGCAAAAAATAAAAATATATTAGTGATTAGAATATTACTAAAATTCCTTATTTAAACCCCATAATGAAATAGAAAATGAGGCAAAGAACTGAAAAGTTTCAGGCTGGCTATCTGAAGCAGTATAACAGTTTAACTGAAAAGTATCAGCTTGTTCTTGAGTCAGACAAGGTTATAACATAATAATTAATCCAAAGCAAAATAACGAGAAACAATGTGTTTTTGGTAAATTCAGTGGAGTTACAATTTAAAATGTAGTGACATCAAAAGTTTATATAAATATCTCAAAATAGTTTCTTTTAAAGAATAACTGTAACACTTTGTCTCACCAGCTGCTTGTGCTTTTTCAGGTGTGCGTCCAAAGCTGTGACCAGTTCCAGCATCATGGCACAGGGTACGGCTGAGTCACTGGCACCCACAAACACCTTCTGTGGCTCACTTGCGTCTGAAGGTATCAATTTAGAGTCATAGTGACAAGCCAAAAGCAGTCTTCGGGGAGCCATCGGGTCCAACACAGCCAGGATATTAGAGAAGCTAACTGGGCCACGCGGGGTTTCAGAGATGAAAGAGTCCACTTCAACAGACCAGCCAGCCGAAAGAGAATCCAGCTGAGAAAAGATGTGCTAAAACCACAGAAATGGCAGACACTGAATTATGATGGATTCTAACATATTTAATAGGATCTGAGATTTCATTCAAATCTGATAGTAAATCAGACATGTCTTACTTTACGAACAGCTCGACTTCCTCGACTTCCAGGCTGTCGCTGAATGAGAATGGGTCGCAGCTGGAAATACCACAGTCTTTCCCAATTCACCTGCGAGATGAGCCGCTTCACTTGGGCAACAGTGGGTTTACCTGGCTGGTGATTCAGCTACAAGAGAATAAAGATGGTGAATATGTGGTGACAGAAACATAAAGAATTAGCAAGATATTCTCATTATTGCAATATACTCATGAAATTTCAGTTTTAAAAAGTAGTGCCTATTTACAGACAATTTCCAAAAATGGGTTTTCACAGTGATGGCATAGAAGAACTGTTTTGCTTTCCAAAAAATGTTAAAGGAAACTATTACTAACTATTTACTCACCCTCACATTGTTTAAGTGAAGTTTATTTATAAACTAATTTCGAGAGGATCACATGCTTATGATTGTTCTCAGCTGGTCCCACATCAGCTCACGATTGATTATCCAATCAAATAAATCCTTACTCACTATAAATAACCAAAGTTTTTTTTCTCTCAATATTTTCGTCTTGAAGAATCCCCCCTACCCACCCCTACTCTCTCTCCTTTCCAGATGGGCAACACGGCAGCCCAGTAATTTGCACTGTTGCCTCACAGCAAGAATGTCTCCGGTTAAAGTCTCTTCTAAACCAGCTGACATTTCTGAGCAGAGTTTGCTCGTTCTCCCTGTGCTTGTGTGGGTTTTCCCCGGGTTCTCCAGTTTCCTCCCACAGTTTAAAAAACACGCAATCTAGGTAAATAAACAGACCAAATTGATACCATAGCCAAGCTCTGTGCGAGTACACCTCTCCTCAGCCATTCTATATCTGTCATTAGCCAGAAATAAGCCGGGAGTTTATCGAGATCTACCTAAGCTCAAACCTCCCTCTCACCCTGCAAACAGGGGGGAGCCCAGGGCTCAAGGATCTCATAAGCTCAGAGCTTTCTCCCGGGGCAGCATGCCAAACATGCTTTATGATCAATCATCAGCTGAGTGTGAACTCTTGAAACCTGTGTTCTTTCATTCATTTTCTTTTCGGCTTAGTCCCATTATTAATTTGCGGTCGCCACAGCGGAATGAACCACCAACTTATCCAGCACATGTTTTACGAAGCGGAAGCCCTTCCAGCTGCAACCCATCACTGGGAAGCATCCATACGCACTCATTCACACACAAACACTACGAACAATTTAGCCTACCAAATTCACCTATAGTGCATGTCTTTGGACTTGTCAGGGAAACCGGAGCACCCCTGGAGGAAACCCACGCAAACACGCGGAGAACATGCAAACTCCACACAGAAATGTATAATTAAATAGTAGGAAAACATTATGGATGTCAATGATGGTTTTCAGAACTTTTTAAAAATAACTTCAATTGTGCTCAACAGAGTAAAGAAGCTCAAACAGATTTGTAACAAGTGAAGGGTGAGTAATTGATGAACATTTTTTGTGGGTGGGGAGGGGAGGGGTGAACTATATACAAAAAGCCTTTGAGCAATAAGCAGGCACTGTCCTTTTAGAGAACAGTTCTTCTCAGAACCATATTTTTTTCTAATTGTGATGAACATTTTAAATTTCTAAAGAAGCATTTTCACCATGAAAAAACCTTTGATTGATGTAAAGAAATGTTATTCTGTCAACCACAGATGACAATTTGGCAAAGAGCTGATTGGTGTAAGCTCATTAGTCCAGATTTAGAACAGCAACAAATCTGCTTTTATTGTTTTCTGAAACATATTATATAAGCAAACAGCTAATATCATGTTCCAAAACAGGGCTACAACAGGACTGTATTTCTGAAATGACCATTCAATAAAATAAATAAAAATGTCTGTAGTCCCTTTACCTTGTCTTTGATCAGGTCAGGAGGTTTTGGTGGTAAGTCAAACTCCTCTGGGTGCTGGTTAGCTAGTGATAATGCCAGTGTTAATGTCATTGCCACCAGCACGCACAGGCACAGCAGCAGTAACCGGACGCGGCACATGCGGGGCTGGTCACAGCGCGCCACAGAGCAGCTCCATCTGACCGTCGCTGCTTTGTACCGTATGCTCTTCATTTTGTGTTGATGAGAGATGCCAAATCTGGATTAATCCTGCATGGAAGAAGAGTATAGAAAGAATTTAGATTCCAAACAAAATGTATAAATGAACACATAAAATAAACGTGAACGCACAAACAGCCAATAAAATAAGATGGGTAATAAGAAAACATTTAGAGACTTAAATGAATAAAACCGGGTTAATTCGTGGAAAGTTGTAGCTAATGCCCAGCATATTCTGCACAACAGACACACTCACCAGTTGTCCGGGACTGGCATACCACTGCTCTGGCAAATCCACTGCGGTCGCTGTAAATGAGCAGCACATAGTGCTGAACGACGAGAGGATTGAGTCTGGGGAGCATTTCATCAACAACGCCGGTCTGATTCGTCCTTGTTATGCATCTCGACAATAATGCAGGCTGTAAATGATCGTATTCACAGTCCTGCAGACTGCAGTAGTCGATGTTATTGAGACCGAACCGGACAGCGATCTGCGCAGGTGCTCATCTCTCTCTGCGCGTCCACGCTGTCACTTCTTCTGGCAGTGATGGAGGATAATACACATCATATATTTCATGTTCAGTATGAAAATAAAAAGCTTTCATTATTCACTAATAGATAAAACATGTTTTAAGTCTCTCATTAACATATTTTGAAATAGAGATGTTGCGCAGATTTTTTATTTTATCTTTTGAATTTGACCCACATATTTTACGCCCCTAGTGTAACTAAAAATTATTTGACCTATGCATTTCAAAAGGTTTTTTCAAAATCCACATAATCCTTTCTTACCTTTATTATTATTATTATTATTATTATTATTATTATTATTATTATTATAAACTATTGATTATTACCGCATCTTACTTTACAGACAGCCACGCCCCCAACACACGTAATTGGTCGAAGCTTGTTGAACTTTTTGATGCTCAAATACAACTTGAAAGTGCAATGGTCTGCGTTTTCACATTTTAGAAAAAAAACTGCATACAAATGATAAAACATTTTAATTTTAGACATAAAAACTCACGAAGTTCATAAAAACGGGCCCCGGTAACCAAATATCACGAGGTCTGTGTAATGGACCTACTGGAGCAAGCGATGCCTCTCGTTAGCCAATCCGCGTAAGCGCTAAAGCTGATTGGCTCTTTTCTTGTCCAATGTCATTGTAGGAAGCTCTGTATCGGACATTTAATTCTCTATATTTAAGCAATATATTGTGACTATTTTCAACTCCTCAAGAAAAATCAGGTAAGGCAACTACATCTACCAACGAAAATATGCATATACTTAAAACGAATATGATATGAAAATAAAGAGATGCTTCAGAGTTTACGTTACAAAAGTTAATTACGCATACCTATTTACATAGCAATATGCTTGACATGCCAGTGCAAAGTATTTAAAATATATCTGAAGCGCGTAACTAACACTCCACCAACAGTGCCTTTTATTTGTGTGTATAATTAGTATGTTTGATGTATATAATGTGTGTACCTTATATTCCTTATGTTAAATTATACACAAGGATGCAAGCCACAAGTGTAGAAATATTAGTCAATTTTGAGCTTTTGGGGACATTTTTTGGTCACAATGAGGAAAACAGCTCATAAAATCACACAAAATTAATTATATTTTCAACATGTAAAAATGCAGGTTGTGTTTAGGGCAGAGATGCCTAAAGTTGGCCCATTGTAATTTTTGATTCGGCCCACTAGCCTCAATCAAAGTTGGTTTTTCGCCCTTCATGAGAAAAAGTTTGGCCACCCCTGGTTTAGGGGCAGGGGAATAGAATGCCGTTTGTACAGTATAACAATCATTACGTGTTTGGGAAGTGCCCATAAAGCTAGCTGAACATGTGAGTGAATCTGTGAAATATATGTTGCTTTTTTTAAATTCTTATATAGCTCAAAAAATTAAAAATAAATTAAATACAATTTCTAACTCATTAAAATACACAATAAATCCATTAGGCCCATAAAGCCTTACCGAAATTAAATATATTCATTCATTCATTGATTCATTCATTGTCTTTTTGGCTTTGTCCCTTTTTTAATCAGGGGTCGCCACAGTGGAATGAACCACTGAAATCAAATATATACAAGCTATTTTTATATTGCTACATGACCTGAATCAACGCAAAGCATACATAAAAATGCTGATAATACAATTTAAAGTATGTTATTGACTGAGTTTTATGTCAACAGGAAAACGTGACAAACATGCTGCAGTGCCTCAACTTTCACCAGAGTCACATTCATAACCAAAATAGACGTGTGCTTTCACACTGTCTCCCTCAATATAATGACAAAAGTCAGTTGCTTCATTATTTGTACATTTATTTTCAAATATGTAAAATGGACATGTGAAACAGACAAATCTATATGGCCTGTGTGTGCTTGCAGAATCTGAGTCGGAGAGTAAAGACACACCACCACAATTCATGAAAGCCAAGAACATGAACACTTACAGTCGCATAAACAAGTATACAGGTAAATATATGTTTTTAAAGGATAAAACATTTTGTTGTTCAAAATTGTGTTTACACTTACACTACTGTGCTTGTGTTTCTGAACAGTACAACTGAGTGACAATAAGAGGGACTCACAGACTAAAGACTGCGTGAGATTTATCATAAATGCCGTTGAGGAGCTTGTTTGCAACAGACAAAGCAACTCGTCACAAACTCAACCTACAGAAGACAAAGAGTCGTGGCCTGTTGAAGACAGTGAAGCATCACAAAGCTCTACAGACTCCAACTCCACAACTTCCTCTTCCTTTACAGGTGAAACCTCTTATGTTTCTTTGTTACTAAACATCATTGTCATACATGCATTACTAAAATTAGAAAAATAATACCTGGTGTTTTTATTTTGTTTGTTAGCAAGCAGCAGGGAATCTACCTGCAGTGTGCAAAGTGAAAGTGAGGATGGAAGTCCAGGGAGAAAGTCATTGGATACACCACCATTAGGGTTTGTCTTTTTAATGTTCGTGAGTAGCTTAAAGGCATAGTTCACTCAAACATGCAAATGTACTCACTATTTACTCAATCTCAAGTTACACACCAATATGAGTTACGAAAGAAGATATTTTAAAGAATGTTGGTAAACAGATGGTTTAAAGTAGAATAGTGTTGTCACGATACTGAAATTTCCAACTCCGATATGATACTTTGAAAAATATCTACAGCTGATACCATTTTCGATAACGTGGAAAACCAATTCCACAACATTAAAAATATGCAAATAAAGGACGAAGGGAAAGAAATAACTAAAACTTATAATGATTATATGTCAGCAGTCCAAACGGCAATAAATGACAAAAAATAGTAATAGACTAGTGATATCTTATTTTCTGATCAAAACCTTAAAATCTTAATATTATTATTAGTTATTCATCTTCTTCCTGGTGTACAAGAGAGTACTAGAGAGCTAAGCCAGGATTAATACTAACCAATAGCAAGATTGTATTAATTTAAATATTTCAGTATCAATATTTATTGATACATCAATATTTTTGAAAACAGTACAGTAAACATTGACCTACATGATGTTTTTTTAGTTATGGAATTCAATGTAAACCATCAACTGTTTGATTCCCACCATGTTGTTTAGTTACTATAAAGTTTGTAATTCAGTTTTATGCTTTACCATGTTTTCAGATCGGGAATCCGTCTTAAAGATCCAATGCTTGGAGCTTTTCCAGTTGCATGGAAAAAGCATTTTGCTTTCAGCACTACACTGCCAAAAACACCAGTACAGCCTCTGCAGGAAACAGAAAGCCTGATCCTCAACCCGTCTCTGCTCATATCACCTTCTCAAGGCCTCAGCTGTTCGCTTTTTCCTGAAGGACAAGGAGCGCTAGAATGTAAAGATGATCCTACACACATTTCATCATTTATTCATTTTATTTGTGTTTGCCATTTATGAAACCGATACATTAGTTGTTTTATGGATGCTCTTCTTTATTTAAATCTCTCTGTTTTTTGTTATGGAACAAAAATAGTTTAGGCAAATCTGCTCAGAGCCAAATGTGCAGATTTCTGGCAGTGTGAAATTACAAACAATGTTGCTGTAACGCTGACTGAACAATATTTTTTACCATAACAGCATTATTCGAGGACGTGTGGGTCACTCATGAATCTACCATCTTGAAAAGTCCCAGTTCGTCTGACAGCTTTGAACATGACTCGGTAAGCCAAACTTTTTGCCTAAATATACTTTAAACATTGTATTGGGGTCCAAAAATCTGAGACAACTGAAAAATCTCAAATGCATCATAGCAGAACTGTAATACCTAGCTTTAGGGAAATATGAAGAGTTAAAAAACCCTAAATGCCATCTAAAATGTTCTCCTAAAATGACAATTTTTGCCAGCCTCCTATGTTCATGTTCAGTTATTTCACTTTAAAGGCAAAGCAAATAACTTATCTGTCACTATAAAAGTAAAATTACTGAGCCTACACAAAGGAATTGTGGGAAAAAGGGTCTTTTTCAAAGAAAATATCAAATGGCTTTTAGAGGTTTTTGCATCTAAACTCTTCATTCGTCCTTTTTCTTTAAAGCAAAATAAAAGCTTTTCCACTAATGGTCTTTTGGACCCACTTTAAATTAGTTCAGTGAGAATGATAACTATAATGGTAAATACTTTATCATTCTATTAACGATAGATGTCTTGCTTCATCAGCAAAGAAAAAAGCTGATTCCATTGATATTATTGCTATCTGCTGTTATCTTTACCATAGTATATTTAGAACTCTCTCTTAACATTTTCAGTCATCATCCATGATGTGAACAGGCCTTTGTGAGTCAGCTCTCTATTTATGATTTCTTTTTGTACTTCAAATTAGGAGTCTGTCATAAATGTTGAAACGGACAGATTTGCGTTCATGAAGAATAAACCAAAGATCAAGGACGAGATGCCAAAACAACTCATTCCTCTAAAAAAGGTGAGAAAAGTCTGTCCACACCTGCACACTTCAAGAAGAGGACGTGTTTCAACACAACCGAACCCTAAGAAGAAATGTGTGAACGGCTTCCTCATGTTCTGCCGAATTAACAGGAAGTTATATATCAGGTGTGTATGCTACTGTAAACAAAATGTAAACAAAATTCTTGCTCTCTTCATTTCCTTAGTTCAACTTATAATCAAACCGACTAAAAATATTAAGTTAAGCTTTGCATAACTCTGAAAATCTCGTTGAAACCTGATTAACTTATTAAAATAATTTAAGTAACATACATAACTTTTATCATGACTTTTCTCCATAGCATTTTTAGTGTATTATAGCAAAAACTATGGAATACACAAGACATGTCACTCGTATATTTTTAAATGGGGAAAAGTGTGATGGTCAATATGGTGAATAAAGCCTGTCTTCTAGTACAGGAGCCAATAATTGATCTCTATAGACTGTTGATACTTCGAATGAGGGGCTTGGACCAGACATGAGTTTCTGCAGATTTTGTGTGATTTGGACATTTATAAATGAAACTAAAGAGACAGTTGTTGTTTTTTATTTTATTGGTGATACCTAATGTTAATTTTTAACGGTAAGCTTGGCAAGCAGTTTTGGAGAATTTGATGTTTCCCCATTCAAACTGAATGGCCGAGTTTACTGCCCGAGAGGTGTTTCAAAGATGGCCGCCGAGTGAAATGACTTGCCTTAAAGGGACTTTGATTATACTCATCTAGATAAATAATCCGGTTACACTTTACAATAAGGTTCATTAGTTAATGCATTTACTAACATGAATTAATCATGAACAACACTTGTACAGCATTTATTAATCATAATTGAACATTTACTAATGCATTATTAACATCCAAGTCCATGCTTGTTAACATTAGTTAATGCACCATGAGTTAACATGAACTAACAGTGAACTACTATATTTTCATTAACTAACGTTAACTAACATGAACAAATACAGTAGTAAATGTACTGCTGTTTGTTCATGTTAGTAAATGCATTAATTAATATTAACTAATGAACCTTATTGTAAAGTGTGACCAATAATCCTTTAATGGCAGACAGTATTGATATGTTTTTTGAAACAACAGATCGTATCCTGGCATCCCCTCCACTACAGTCACCAAAGAGTTGGCTAACCTGTGGCACATCTTACCCAAGAGGGAGAGACGTTTGTACTGGTAGGCTCTCTGAATTATCTAAACTTCAGTCAGGCTTGTGTTTTGACACAATCTACATTGTAAAAGATAGAAATAAAGATGAATTGAATTGTACTGCATTCCAGTTTCAAATGAACCTCTCTCTGCTTTTAGCCTGAAAGCCTGTAGCTTCAGCCGCAAACAGAACCGAAATGTTCGTGCTGAAGTCCACGAGGCGGAGAGGAAGGCTGAACAATCTGCGCCCAGTCCTCTGCACATCCTACTGGCCTATAAAGAGGTGATTGAGACTGTCAAATGAAGATTTTCACAGCTCATTTACTGGGAAAAAGGTTGGAAAACTCTAAGAAAAGCAAACACAACTCACTACAAGTCTTTAAATGGCAATAGTGTATAGTTCAATACAGTTTGATTAAGGTTCATTGTTGTGATTAAACACAGGTATTTTAAAGTAGCTTATTTATTGGGTTAAGTATGTATATTTTTATTGTTCTACTGTTTTTAACCATCATAGAGCATTTGTACATTTTCTGTGTTTTTTGTATACTGTTTTTATTTTTTAGACTTTGCATTGTTTGATAAAAAATAGTACTTATTTATAATAAGTGGCAAATGCAAAGTATCTGTATGTAAAATATATATATATATATTTATGTATTTATTATAATGTTTTACATTAAGCTGTTTTATAGCTTTTTTTACAGATGTAACCTAATTATTCCCCTGTAACACGTTTCCCAAGAGGGTTAGCAACCTTATAGTGTTGTTCTGGTTTGTACACCTAGGGCTGTTATTAAAAGTTGATTGAGTTGACAGTTTGTTTGACTTTTATTTAGCATTTTTATTAATTTAATTCATTTTCTTTCAGATTACTCCCTTATTTTTCAGGGGTCACCATAGCAGAATGAACCGCCAACTATTCCGGCATATGTTTTATGAAGTGGATGCCCTTCCAGCCGTAACCCAGTACTGGGAAACACCCATACACTCTCTCATTCCCACACACTCATACACTACCGTTAATTTAGTTTATTTAATTCACCTATATGTCTATGTCTTTGGACTGTGGGGGGAAATCAGAGGACCTAGAGGAAACCCACTCCAACATGGGGAGAACATGCAAACTCTACAAAGAAATACTAACTGGCCCTGCTGCGACTCGAATCAGCGACCTTCTTGCTATGAGGTGACAGTGCTAACCGCTGAATCACCGTGCCACCCATTTTTATTCACTATATGAATAATGTTTTACTTTAGGTGCAGTTATGTTAAATGTAGCATCATTTCACAAAACAGATAATAATCATAATCATCATTATTTAAAATTATATCTATTTAAACATGTGGCGCGGTGGCACAGTGGTTAGTGCTGTCACCTCACAGCAGGAAGGTAGCAGGTTCAAGCCTCGGCTGGATCAGTTGGCATTTCTGTGTGGAGCTGCATGTTCCCCAGTGTTAGCGTGGGTTTCCTCCAGGTGCTCCAGTTTCCACCACAAGTCCAAAGACATGTGCTATAGGTGAATTGAGTAAGCTAATTTGTCCGAAGTGTGAATGAGAGAGTATAGGTGTTTCCCAGTGATAGGTTGCAGCTGGAAGGGCAACTTCTGCGTACAACATATGCTGAATAAGTTGGCGGTTCATTCCACTGTGGCGACCCCTGATTGATAAAGGGACTAAGCCGAAAAGAAAATAAATGAATGAATCTATTTAAATCACTATCTGCCCACACTAATGTAGGCCTATGTTGAATCTTTGTGTGGATCATGATGGAATCACATACTTATTTTCTCCTATAATATGTAATTTGCTAGTTAAAAAAAAATCCAGTCTATCCTGAAATATCAAGATCAATGCATCAGTGTATTTATTGACGATAGTGTTGAGTTGTATTAAATGGATGTCTAAAGTTTCATTAATTCATAGAGACGTAGAGGAGACGCACAAAATTCAGATGAGGGCAGGAAGTAAAAAAACTGAATGGAAGACAGGAAAGTTCGTATTTTTGTGATTTATACCATATTTCAAAGAAGATGTAAATAGAAAATAACCACATATGTTGGCATGATCTTGATATCATGAAGAGGAGCGAGTTTTCTACTGAACTAACATATATCTGCCTGTCATCGAGGCGGTAAACACTGCATAAGTTATTACGTTCCATGAAAAACACTGTAGCGCTTGGAAGCATACTATAGGTAATTGTTTGAATTAAATATAATTACCATGACCACTTGTCGTAGTATTTACATTGTTGTCGTGGTACAACACAACTGTATTAATAAACAAATTATTCAGTAGTCTTCAGTTTTCTATGCTGTAACTATACACTATCACAATGCACCACAGTTTACACTAACATTATTTATTACAGTTTATCAGTTTACTATGCTGCAGTATTCTGTAACATTCATTACCAAAGAGTTGTACACATTATACACTTTACTATGTGTTTTAAAAACACGTTTATTATAAATTACTTGAGTTTTCCCCCATGCGGATATCTTCCAGATAACACCAAATAGCAGATGAAAGTATACAAAAGCATGGACGCATAGTCTACGTTATTATTTAGTTATTTTTGTAAGGGGGAAAATGCTCCAAAATTATAACCTTCAAGTTTTGTCGCAAGAGTTGCATTTCATTTTTGTTATTTTGATGAATTTAACCATCAACAAACATTTACCGCTGACTGCTTGCACATTTCGATGTTCACGTTACTGTTGTTTATTCTGCTGAAACGCCAGTAAAAACTTGGATTATTGCAAAACAAGATGGATATTGTATCATTGCGTTTACATGACGGGGTATGTTATTTATATTCTCCTAGATTTTGTACGAGTGTGGTGGTGTTTGTATCTGATTTTTATATAACACATTAACATGTTTATACACAGCAAGGCCTGTATATAATCTTTATTAGTGCTGTCAGACGAGTTAATGCATTCAAAAAAAGTTTTTTACACATGGATGTATTCAAAAAAGCTTATTACATGCTGCCTTTTCTTCTGTTTTTTTAGCCAGTTTCTTAAAACAACATAATACAAAAACATTTTGATGTTCTTATGGTGAGTCCCATGTAGAAAAATCACTTCCTGCCTTCCATCTAAATTTCGTGCTTCATAAATGACATCATGTGAAGACACACATATTGCAGACACATGACAGATTTTCTCTTTTCTAATATGTGAAGAAAACTCTACAATTTTTTTTTTTAGATATTTACCTCAAGAAATGTTTCTGTTGTATACTGACTGTTTCAACAGCAGCTGGAGCTTCAGTAGCTACAGTCACATGATGGCTTTTTCTTATTGCCGATTAGCACTTTATACAATGTATTTTACAAATACAATGCTTACATCATATTCACAATCAAACAGAAATGCTGAGCAAAAATACAAATTTTTCACTTCTGTTGACCCATTGAGCAGCCATATTGAAGTCAGGGATGCTGCATGTTCTCTAGATTTTCTAATATGAGTCTGGAAATAAATAGGACGCACCATTTTTCCACTATAAAGTGTACTATAAAGCATTTTTCCCATTCACAAGTAATATGAGGGTACAGTCTTTTCTTCCAACCTTGCATTATTCTCCAGGTGTTGTGTTTAAAACGTCGCTGATTTTGTGTAGCTGTTCAACAGCACAGAGCGACTCTTCTCTCAGATGCTGGTTGCTAATGCGAAGCTTCAACACCTCTGCCAGAAGAGCCACCTTGTCTCTCTTCTCCTGAACGGAGGACAGAGGAACACATGCTGTTTGTGAGCAAGTTTGCCCTCTATAACACCTTTCTCATTTATTAAGCACCAAATGAGTCTCACCTTCAGCAGATCACCGCTCAGTCGCCTAACCATCCCTTCTAGGTGAGAGAGTTGGTCACGAAAGTCAATAAATACGTCACTGCTAAAAATAACAATGCAGGTCAATTAATTTTCATGTAGGTTTTTTTTAAAGGTGTATTAATCAATAAAGGACATTACAGCTACTGTAAAAATATGAATTTACTCATATATTCCGCTTAAGGTAAGGATGTTCAATGCAATACAGTATTAATAGAGTACAAAGATGCCTCACTTACTCTAGATCTTCTTCACTGAAACAGCCACTGGACTGGTGGATCTTGTAGGTCCCACAGGATGGTGTGTCTGGCCGGCTTGATACAGGACTCATTTCTGACAAAAGTGTTGCCATCCTTTGTGCTGCAAATATATTATATCAACGGAGTTGTTAATTTTACTACTGCTACTACTGTTGCTAATGATAACATGTCCTCTTCCTCTATGTAACATAACTATGCCTGCCTACGTTCTTTAATCGTCCACCTGAAAACAAAACTGATTCTTTAACAAAAAAGTCGACTCCGAAGAATCAAATTGGGCTCAGATCTTTTGTTTGATCGCATTGATATCGATAAAGTACATCACCAAATATGTACTTCCATTTCCAGTAAAATGTGAACGCGCTTTCACTTCAGACACTAGCAGAGGCGCAGGGGATCACGGGACTGATCATGACGCGAAGATGGCAAACACTGACAGATGGGAGATTTGGCTGAGGGGAATGAAGGATTAAAGTTCATTTTCACAACAATATCACAGTATAGCCAACCGTGTGTTGTGTTTGTTCCTGTCATTTTTCTAACTTTTGATATAATAACCGACGCTGCAACGCAGGATTCGTCAGCCATTTGCTTTTGAAGGAGCAGGAGAGACTATGGGACTTTGGCAGACTTTGACAGGGACTTTGTTAGTAAATTTTACATTTCAAATAGACCATAACATAACATGTAAGTGTCATTAAAATTCTTGCCTCGTTTTGTGTAGTTTTCAAAATATGTGTTTAATTGTGTGTTATAAGTTGTAATCGCCCTGTGCGGCTTGTACTCACGTATCGATTATAGATGAGTGCTTGTACTGTATCTCTCAGGGTAAATCTGTATGGGGCTGTTCACATATCGCAAAACTATGGTAAAAACGAGACGGGTGCTTCTTTCTTTAACAATTTTAAATACGTTTCTGAACTGGTGAACCTCTGCTGTTTGCCTTTGCTATGGCCACCATCAGCTGTTCCACACACGCGCTGGGCGGTCAATTTTAAGAATAGTTCAACTTTTGCCACTGTGTGGATTAATACTGAATGTGTGTCTTACTTGGGGTTAGGTTTAAGAGTAAAGTATATGCTGGTGTTTAACTGCATTGCTTTATTGCGTTCCTGCAGTGGGCTCTAGCTACTGTAGCCATGGTGGGCATTTCTTTCTGTCTAGTGCTGAACCCAGTCAACCGATCCCAATATACTCAGTCATCGGCCCAATCAGCGCAGATTAGCTTCGCGCTAAGGAGAGCTTTGGGAACAAATGAATCGCTGAACAATCCAAATGGGAGTTGCTGGGATAATTAGGTAAAAATAAATGCTTATTATAAGACAATGAAAGTGTTTTTGACCTTGCACACATATCAGCATGTTGTTGGAGACCCCCCAAAACCAAAATATGACCCTTTAATGCAAAATAGTGGCTCTATAAGACCACACAGATACCTTGCAATATGTCTTAGGTACTAATATGTTTAGGCAATAATATAAATATGGCCCCTTTAGGTGTGTACATTTTGAAAAGATACCACCGTAACATGTGACAGTGACATCATACCAAATATTAGTCTAAGGATATCAACCAATCTGTAAAATCTGACCAAAATAATGTTGGGTTGGACAGACAGATTTATTATGACTGGAATCTTTGTGTTTAAAAAATAAGGGGTTAGTGTAAATAAACAATCCCAACAATATTATTTTTTTTTTCAACACTTACTCTCATATTCTTGGGCTGCTTGAACCAGACTATTCCAGTCAAGCTCACAGGCTGTGTTTGGCAGGGGAATGAGTTCAGTGTCAGGATGTTCCCACAGGTCAGATTCAGCCTGCTCAGGCAAAACATCACATTCTAGAAAAAGACAACCAGTGAATGCAAACGGATACTATAAACAGTCCATAGCATAAATCACTCATAAAGAAAAAACCCTTGCCTGATTGACATGTTTGCAGGTGAAGATGGACTGGTGTGAGCGCTGGAGTAGGACTGAATAATGATGGACTGGCACATGAAGCTGACATTGGCGAACTACTGCAAAGCTCTGGCACTTTTTGTTGATTTGTCGACTAGAAAGAGACACATTGCAACATGGTAACACTGCACACATACCAACCCTCAGTAGAACAATACCTGCTTTTTTTACATTATTGTCCTTGTTCAGGGTCATACTGCACATATTTCACCTCACGTACTGAATCCCCCCGAGCGCTGTCCTCGGTGTCATCCATCACAATGAGTTTTTTCAGGTCCTCCACCACTGTGCTTTTGCGAACGGGCCGCGGTGAACAAGCTGCTCGCAGAGACGCAACAACTCGGGGCTGACCAAACACATTCTTTGAGCTCACATCCACCTGACTGAAAAATATACAGTTCAAGTCACAATTATTAGCCCTCCAGTTACATTTCAATTCTTTTATATTTTCCCCTAAGTTAATGAAGAAAAGATTTTTGAACACATTCCTTACTAAAACAGTTTTAATAATAACTGATTCATCTTATCTTTGCCACGATAACGGTACATAATATTTGACTAGATATTTTTCAAGATAATAATATTCAGATTAAAGTGCAATTTAGAAGCTTAACTAGGGTAACTTGGCAAGTTAGGGTACTTAGGCAAGTCATTGTATAACAGTGGTTTGTTCGGTAGCCAATCGAAATTTTTTTTTGATCAAGCTGGGTAATAATATTGACTTTAAAAAGTAAAGGAAAAAAATAAATAAATAAAAAAAATATATATATACAGTGCTCAGCATACATAAGTAAACCCCTTACAAATCTCTCATTTAAACTCATATTTTCTATAGGAAGTTTTCCAATATTATATTTGTGCATTTACATTAGATTGGTCAGTACTGAAGCCAAATCTAAAGCTTATCTAACAAAATACTTCAGTAGGTCCAAAAACTACTGTAGTGGCTCAAATTTATGTTATAGAAAAATATTGTTTTTAAAAAAAAAAGAAAATCAAGAGAAGCAAAAACATATATTGAATTTAGTTGAAATTTAGTTGTTTGTAATTTTTTTTCAATATTTTGCTTGAATTTATTTGTATTATCTTTCAATTTGTAAATATGTTTGGTGACTAAAATATTACTTTAATAAATATATCTGTTTAATAAATCTGTTTTGTTTAAACGTACCAAAATACATATATTCACTGAGACATTGATAAATTCATTTTCAAAATGGGGTGTACTCGATTATGCTGAGCACTGTATATTCTAGCTAAAACAAAACAAATAAGGCTTTCTCCAGAAGAAAAATATTAAAGAAAATACTGTGAAAATTTTCTTAATGCAATAAATATCACTTAAGAAATATTTGAAAAATAATAAATATTGCACACTGTATTCAACTGTGTGAAGCCATCACGAATCAAACAAATGAAAACATTTTAATTTTTAATATTAGTCAATTAATTATGTACAGTGAATGTACAGGGTGATTAAGAAAAGAATACCACAACTTTGAAAATCGAGAACTCTGCAAAGAAGAAAAGGAGAGCTAAGCTCATTCTATCATCGATTTAAGCAAGTTCTAAAGTTTCATTTGGTTGCTTAACTAAAAAAAGGAATAACTGCAGCTATCTAAACTGTTACGCCTGAGATACTACAGAGAGTGTGAAACGAGTTCAAGTATGGGGTTGATGGCACTCGAGTGTCTGGAGGGGGTCATATTGAACATCTCTGAACTTGTTTTCTACTGAAAAAAAAACTTTGTTAAGTTCTCTTCATATTTATTAATTACCCAAGGTTCCATCATGATTCTTTGATTAAATTCAGATTTTCAAAGGTATGGTATTCTTTTTTAATCACCCTGTATTTTACAGTTTTTAAAATAGGTATGACGCACAAAGAAAATACACCATACCTCAAATGTCAAATACTGACTTGTTAAATATTTGATCATTGTACCTGTAGTGTGTATTATCGTAATATTGAAGCCCATTTTACATGTTATTTTTCTGAATTTTTATCTTGCAATTTGCAACTTGCCGTTTGTTTCTCGTATTGCTGGGTTCTTATTTTACTATTTTGACTCTTTCCTTTAAATTAATTTCCTTTCAATGGTTTACGGAGAAGAAAAGTACTAGTTTATAGACTCACATTTTGAACTTTACTTTCCATAATTATCAATGTATACAGTATCTAGCAGTTTTTACTTTTTCAAACAGTTTAAAACTAAATTTAAGACAAATTCAAAAACTCAGGCTATTTTCTTTTCATAAACATGAGCCTGTATATCACAGTATTGTTAAAAACATTCTATTCAAAAACACATGTATATATGTGAGACGTGATCATATTACCATGTCTTAAACCTATAAACAAACAATTGCACAACATCCCCCAAAAAAGTGTGTTTTGGATTCCACTGTATTGCATTACCATTGTTTATTGTATCTATTGTTTTCTATATAATTATCTGGGCTATTTTGGGCTTGATATTTTGCACATAACTCAATGTTATGTACAGTAATCAGACCTTAAAGGTGTAAAAGGTGATTGTCTGCAGAAACAGATTTTGTTATGCTGGTTGAAAGTCTCTTCACACCCTGATAGAAATTATTAAATGAAGTGAAGTGGAAGTATTTATATGTATTTTATATTCTGTGGAAGGTATAGGACCAAGAAAAGTTTGTCCAATCAAAATGTTCCAAACAAAAATTACAATAGGCTTTCCAACCGTCCTGTCAAAATAAGCAATTGAACAAACTGTGTTCACACAGAAAGAATTACGTTGCATATGCCATTAAGACAGACTTCCCAGCAAACAATTTTGTGTTTAATAGACGTCTAATAGAAATCTAAATATAGAAAGCTTGGATAAAATAATTCTAAACTTGGGCTGTCAGTGAAAATCTAAAAGACATAAGGATAGCCCAAAACTAGACTAGTCATCAAATAGACAGATTAGTGAGACTTTATATATGTAGTCATTCATTTCTGTTTATTTAATGATAGGCTTAGTTTTGGCCTATTTTTAGCATCTATTAGATGTTCACCGACAGCCCAATTTTAGCCTTGTTTTAGCCAAGACGACAATGTTTAGACGTCTATTAGACATCTATCGGGCATCTTTTAAAAACAAAAAATGCTTGCTGGGTTATGTTGGAATTCTCAATCAATTCCATGCATGTTCAAGAAAAAAAGGTCAGAAGAGGTTTTTCTTCAGTGTCAAAAATCGTAACAATTTATTGGATACAAATGAATAACTCGATTAAATAACAAAATTGTGTTATCCTTAATGCAATGCAGAAGTTACGCAAGGAGGTGCGCAACAACTTCTTTTTCTGACTCCAACTTATATAGGCAGTTGATATTAACAGGTGGAGTTTAGTGAAATTCGTCATTTGTCAATCATTGTTCAGTCCTCCATTGGCCGCACCCCAGACATAAGTCCTCTTTTTCTACGAATTCCCTGCACAACAATAAAAGCATAAAACTTTTTGCGCTCTGTGTTCAGTTTTAACACCTTTCTTCAGACAGGAAGTTTCTGCAGAGCTGAATTTAATTTTGGACCAGCATTTATCTACTTCTGCAAAAATGCTAATTAGTATGCACAGCATCTCATACACAACAGTACAAGTTCAGTTAATATATGACCGTTACATAACCAATACAAATAATTGTTTGATTAAAGTAAAAGATACACATATAATAAAAAATTGATTCCTATTTTCTAACAGTTATTACAAACTGAAAAGTTTTCTCATTGGTGAATTTCATGTGAAGTACTGTACACTCTCAGAAATAATGGTACATGATCTGTCACTGGGGTGGTACCTTTTCAAAAGATACAAATTTGTACCTTAAAGGTCCATATTAATATCTCAAGGGTACATATTAGTACCTAAAAAGTACAAAAGTGTTCCTCTTAAAATTTGTAGGTACTAATGTTTACTTTTGAGGTACCAATATGGACCCTTCAAGTACAAATGTGTAACTTTTGAAAAGGTACCACCCCAGTGACAGCTTGCCCACCTTTATTAAGTGTTCAGGAGGCATGGCTTTGGATGGTGCTATTAGACTAACATTAGCATATTGTTTAAGAAGCAAGATCCCACCACCAGTTTTGTTTTTATGAATAGAGAGAGCAATACGAGAGACAAAATGTGACCAGGCATAAAAGCAGTGGGTTTTTTTAACTAACAAGAACAACTAACAAGTAGCATTCCAAAAAGCAGAGGAATAATTGTCAACAAAATTAACTTTATATGAAAGTGTTACTTATTTGTGCTTGCACACTCAGAAATCGATGTACAAAACCTGTCATTGGGGCAGTAGCTTTTCAAAAAGGGACATTTCTGTACCATGTACAGTAGGTAAACATTAGTACCTTTAGGTTACACTTTTATACTTTTAAGGTTCACTTTTGTACCTTTAAGTTACTGAGGTACACATTTGTACTTTTTATGTATTAATATATACATTTAAAGGCCTGTTATGAACAAAAAATGTACCTTTTAAACCCCCAATGACAGATTTTATCTTTTTTTTTTTTCTGAGACTGTATGATTATGCAATAGTAATCAAGACTTTGAGCTATAATTATGATAACAGTACATTCAAAATGACAAGTTGCTTACCTTTCTATATAGATGAGGTCATTGTTTCTGACATCAACAGTGTCTCTGTGTTGTGTGTACAGTATATTGTTTTGTTGTGGGCTGCAGTGAGGGCTGGTTTGAAGCTGACAGGACCAGTCAGGGTCACCTTGAGATAGTTTAAAGCCAGCACCATCAACACTGTCATGACTTGCCTCTCTCAGTTTTAGACAAAGCTTTGTAGGCTGGTTTGCTCTAGACTGGCGTTTGGGGAACAGATGTTGTGTATTAATATAAATCTGAGGATCCTCATTGGATAAATCCTGTCTGTCCTTTCCGGAAGCATTGTGACTGAACAAACTGCGATCCTGGTTCTGGATGAGACGGTCCTCTCTTGGCTGAAGTCGGCTGAAGCGCTCCTTGCCTTGTTGATTTGAGATCGCTGAAGTTTGAGAAACTGTGGCTCTCATCAAAGGAGGCGTTTTCACCATGGAAGTTTTAACCTCTTGCGGTTTGGAGCACAAAGGACTGGAGAAAATAACATACCAAGACCACAGACACACAGATATTGTAGATGCATAAAAACAAAGAATGAGGTATGCAGCGAACACATTGCAAAAGGACATACACTGCAAGCATAAAGACACCGCCATGTTAAAATACAAAGCTACTTCATTGCATTTAGAATGTCCTTCGTTTCCTCATGAAACAGCAAATGAGACGTATAACACCAGTGATATATGTGGTGACTGAAAGGAGACTGAATTTACGGTTAGGGTACAACTGGTGGCACTGTGTGGTGGGAATGTCCCACTTTTGTCTGTCTGCCACCCCTCCCCGTGGGATCTTATGAATGGGACAGAAAGGTGGGGCAGAAGAATATTAGTTCATTATGGAAATTCAGAATGGTGTGGTTTTTTAATTGGTTTGGTACTGTTTTTATAAGTAAGGTATGCAACTGATTGCACTTGTAATACCACTAGTCATACTTTTAAAACCTCATGTCATCATTTCATCGTAGTTGCACATATTTTCATTCCACGTAAGCATTGTTTCAAAAAATAAGATCATTGTGACGTGTATTGAGGACATTTGGTTTAATCACAAATCAGATCATCAGTTCATTTAGTAGCAAACAATACAAGGCACAGGTTTCAAATCACCCATGGTGCTGAATGATTGCTACTGTACTGGAACACTGTAAACACAGCCAACGCCACAAATGTTACACTTATGTTGTATTAAAAAAATTCAAACACCATGAGAATGCATCATCTCATTTACATTTGCAATCAAAAATTATTTACTGTACTGTGATTTTAATTGTACTTTACAAGTTCTACTTACAATTAAGTCAGAATCATAACCTTTCCTGAATTATTAGGCCCTCTGTTTATTTTTTTTCCCAATTTCTGTTTAACGGAGAGATTTTTTCAACACATTTCTAATCATAATAGTTTTAATAACTCATTTCTAATAACTGATTTATTTTATCTTTGCCATGATGACAGTAAATAATATTTTACTAGATATTTTTAAGACACTTTTATACAGCTTAAAGTGACATTTAAAGGCTTAAATAGGTTAATTAGGTTGACTAGGCAGGTTAGAAAATTAGTCAAGTTCTTGCATAATGATGGTTTGTTCTGTAGACTACCGAAAAAATATAGCTTAAAGGGGCTAATAATTTTGACCATAAAATGGGTTTTAAAAAAAATAAAAACTGCTTTTATTGTAGCCGAAATAAAACAAATAAGACTTTCTCCAGAAGAAAAATTATTATCAAACATACTGTGAAAATTTCTTTGCTCTGTCAAACATCATTTGGGAAATTAAAAAAATAATAATAAATCTAAGGGGGGCTAATAATTCTGACTTCAACTGTATATGGTATCTAATTGTGATCAGCAGGCGAAAATAATTAGTAATTGGTATTTTTGACTAAAAGCACTTGCAGCAATTTGCAATTTACAAATTATCTGAGAACAATCATTGGAGAAAATTGGGTGTATATATGTGTGTGAGTAGTATTTGGTCTATTGCCTGGATAATCAAATTTATTGTCTATTGATCAGTGATTATTGTGTATGATAATTTTTTATTGTAAGGGAAAGGGTTTGTGAGGTTTGGGGTGTGGAAGATCTTCTTTAGTGTTTAATTAAGTAAATTAAATTAGTAATTTAAATAAGTAAATAATTAACATAAGTTTTTGACTCTTCTAAAGCATAAAAATACCACAATATGTTTGCAACTATTTAAAAAAACATGCTAAGTGAACATTCCTGTTTACCTGAAAAACAATGCTGAACTTATCCTGTTTTAAAAATGCGAGTTACGTGCAGGCACGTCTGTCTTCGTTTTGGTTATTTTAACTTGCCCAGTGCCTTGTTGGAAAACTGTGTATTTCATTCATTAAGTCAGAAAGACTCTCAATGTATGCGTCCGTGACCGAGATGTGACCTCCAGTGGACTACAAATGAGACGCAGATTCAGAGTTCCACATGAGGTGGTTAATAACTAGCAAATAATGTAAGAATTATGAGCGTAAATATTAGGTAAGCAGATTACATTTGTTTATCCTTTAAATAATTTGAATCATACAAATCTATGGACATATTAAATGATTCATTGATGAAACATTAAGATCAGTTGAATTGCATGATAAACAAATGTAATAAACTGAAGGATGATAAGTGATGCAAATCAAATGTGTAATCGTAATATGTTCATAAAAGGCAGTTACTCTGAATGAAACACTGATATAGATAAACTCTTGTTTTGTGTAGCAAAAAGAATATTTTGAGATTGTGTTTTGTACCAAGCCAATTGAAAATATGCTGCAATGTTTGAATAAAGTCCACTTTTGATGATCTATTTTCCTATACTAAGTGTTTTAAAAATGTACCAATTTCTTGCATCAATCGTGTTAAACCAACAAAAAAGTAATCTGGTGTCATAAATAGGTGCTGTGTTGCGAAATGATTTATGCATCTCACCTGGTTTTAAGAACAGCTGTTTTGGAGCATGGAATAGGCAACGTAAGAGCACAGAACTCCTTTAAGTTGTTTGTAGAGGAAGATCCTTTTAAAGACTTTTTTGTGGACTGCGCAGCTTCGCAGTGTTTAGATCGTGGGATTTTTGGACTGTAGAAGCCCGGCTGTGTCAGCGGGTGCAGCTTTCGGCTGGTCCTGGGGGACTGAGCAATGTTCTTGGCATCTTTACCATTCAACCAAAAGTCATTAGCGTAAGGTGAAAAATCACTCGATTCTCTATTTGGCTGAACAAAATGTGCCTACAAAACAAAAAGAAGATTGGCAAACTATAAATCTCCATGGTAAACGGCCCAAATTAACTGACATGGTATTTACATTTCAAATGCAATATTCTTTTATAGGCAAAATAAATAATAAACAGTATCGAAATAATGAATTGGAAATGTAAACAAAAATATAGAAATATTTATGTAGCTTGGATTCTGATGTTTGAGAAAATAAATGGCATCACCAACTTAATTAAAAATTATTTTTTATAATAATTATATTATTATATTTAATAATTATATTATTACTATATTTTTATTTTATTTTTTGAATTTTCTGAACTGTACCATATACTGTTCTCTGTACTTTGTACTGTGCTTTGGTGTGACATAGCAAAAAAAAAAAAAAAAAAAAAAAAAACACTCTTAATTAATACAGTGTGAGAGTAATATAAGTTTTTTATTTGTTTTATAGTTATTTTTTTGGATGTCCCAATCGGGTTTTCCAGCCCTCAAGTCAATAAATAAATACATTTTAAAGACTGCAGACTGCAGACATACTCGCGCTTTCCACTTCAAGCTGCTTTTGTGTTCTACTTTGACAGCATTTAACCGATAGCGTGTCTGCAAGTGTCGTCATACTGTACGCATTGCTGTTTCTGTGTGAAGTCAAGAAAGAGGTCTAACTCTGTGCCACCCCATAACTATAGATGTGTTAAAAAACTATAATAATAATATAATAATAATATATAACTGTGTATGCATGTTTATATATATATATATATATATATATATATATATATATATATATATATATATATATATATATATATATATACATAAACATGCATACACAGTTGAAGTGAGAATCATTAGCCCCCCTTTGATTTTGAATGAAGCCCCGCCATCTATTGCAGGAGCCAATCATCATTAATTGCTAGAAGGTTGATTAAAGCCCGCATTCTAGTACAGTAACCAATCGCCGATCTCTCTAGACTGCCAATACTCACAGAGAGGGGCTCAGACCAGACGTGAGTTTCTGCAGATTTTGTGTGATTTGGACGTTTATAAATAAAACTAAAGAGACAGCTGTTGTTTTATTTTATTTGTAATTCATAATATGAAATTAAATCGTTAGCTTGGCAAGCAGTTTTGGAGAATTTGATGTTTCCTTTTTCAAGTAGAATGCCCGAGTTTACTGACCGACAGGTGGTTTAAAGATGGCTGCCGAGTGAAATGACTTGCCTTAAGAGGACTTTGCCTCTTCAAAACCTTAAAATTGCGATTTTTTTCTTCTGTTGAACACAAAAGAAGATATTTTGACAAATGCTAGAAGCCGCATCTATTGACTTCCTTAGTCATTTTTTCCTACCATGAAAGTCAACGGATCCAGTAACTATTTCTTCAGAATATTCTCTTTTGCATGCAAAGCGCCAGATTGCCATTCACTGGAAAAGTATTCATGGTCCATCTTTGTCACTCTGGATTGAGGAAATTTCTTGTATAGCAATGGAAAGACTGACTTCCTCAAGATTAAAAAAAATGCACATATTTTACAAGATTTGGGACTTCTTCCTTCATTTTTTAGATAAGAATGGACTGACTGCTTAGTAATCCAAACAGTGCACGGTGTTTGTTATGACTAACTTTAATATAGTTTTCACTTTCATGGGAGTGTATGTGTGTTGAACTGTTTTTGTCTTAATGTTTTGTTTTTAGAAAATTGCCCTTTTTATTATTATTAGATAATTTATATATATATTTTTTTATGGCCTTGTCGGGATGGGGTGGGTGTTAATACAGTATACAGTATACAGTATGTACGCATCACATTTTTTTGGAACAATAAAAGCATTAAAAATAAATAAATAAATATCTTCTTTTGTGTTTTATGGTAGATAGAAGGTTTTAAACCTCATGAGTGAAAACAATTGCACCCCATTCATACAGGGCGTCAGCATCAACGCTTCCAATTCACTTTGAATGGGTGACGTCAGGCGTTGCCGAACTGCATTGTAGATCCGTCAGCGCTGCTTTAGTGTCATTGCTCACTGCAGAAGTTAGGAAATTCTCACCTTTTCAAGCGCCAACGGAAGTGTCAGCCAATCAGATCAGTTTATGCAAATACCGCAGCTCAGACAGTCACCGTTTGCGGGTTAATTTCATTGGCTGATGCTGCTTTGACAATTACATCAGCTACACCCATGTCAAGCGTTGAGGCTAAAGCATTGTGTGAATGCATGGTTAATGTTGTCATTCTCATTTTGGGGTCAAATCAATTCTAACCAACACTAGACTAAATTTTTTGTAATCTTATGTCTTTATTAGATATAAAAGACAGATTATTCAAAATAAAATTAAAAACATGGATTTCAAACTCACTCTTGGCAAGCTGTTGTAAGACCCCTTCCTCTGGTCCTGCAGACCCTCCCTTTGGGCTGCTTTTTCCCATCCAATTAAAGGGCGAGTAGACATTATCATATGCCACTCTCCTTCTGAAATGAAGGATAAAATTGCAGAGGCAAATGACATTAAGCAAAATGAAATACAAACTAAATGATGTTGCTAATAAAAGCATGCATAACCTGCTAGCAGACCTTGTTTGTCTTTAGTTCTGGAGGGGTTTAATGTTGAGAACTCCACTTGCTCAGATGAAGCCCAGTCGAAACTGCCTAGCACTGGTGAACCACCATAGGAACTGAAAAAGATGGTCTTTTTTCACCAGGTCAAATGATAATTAAATATGGTAAAAGACAAAATCTCACCTCGCAGAGCTAGTATTCCTGAACTCAGAGCCGAAGTGTAGAGGTGGAGTCTTTGGAGGAGTAGTAGCATCATCCAAGTCCCAAAACAATGCAGCCATCTTCCTGGACTCCATATATTGTCAATATCCTTATCAATTAAGACAAGTTGTAAGCAGTAGCCTTGAGAATATCCAAACATAATTTTCATCTAAGACACCCTTCCTATGTGTTTTAACCATCTGAAATGTGTTGAATTGGGCGGACCAACCGATGGTACAGACTGCTCCAATTGAACAGAGAGAGCGGAGAAAGCAGGGAAAGAGCTGTGTGGGCTCTTCAGCAGCTCAGTGGAACAGAGGATGGGATTGTGCTGCCTGGTCTGTTGGCTGTTGTTCACACTGTGCTTGTTTGCTCCAGGCAACATGATGCTGTTGTGCACACCGCAATAAACTGAAAATAAAAGATTGGCATTCAGTATGTGGCTTCCAGCAGATTATATTAAAGTGTGTATCTGAAACGTTTTAGCACAAATTCGAGAGCTCACGTAGGTGATTGAGCGATACAATTATCCTGTACAAGAGGTGTGCATATTGAATACTGGAGAGCAACAGAGCTGAAGAATTGCACTCCAACTCAAATATGGCTGAACAATCTAATTCAAGGTCTAAAGGTAACTAGAAAGCTACTGGCAAGTACATTTTTACCAAGGCTGGATCAAAACTCCACAGGTAATTGGCTCTCCTGGACCTAACTTATCATCTGAAAAGTAAACACATAATTCAATTCTATCATACACCCGGCACAATGTGGCGCAAGGCGTGGCGCAATAGTCTTTTGCTACTTTAAGCTCGGCGCAAGGGTCATTTTGAGGTGTTGCGCCACACTGTTTAAATAGCAAATGCATTTGCGCTCATATGTGCGCCCATAGGCGTTCTGGTCTAAAAAAGCAGGCGTGTTTTGGCGCGTTGCTATTTTGAGAAACTGTAAATAGTCTGTTCTGTAGACCAGAACAAAGTCGGTCTACTGTCTGGCGCAAAGTGCGCCTGGCTTACACACCACACACAAGATGTAGAGCTTTACGCAAATATCTTTACATATGAAAAAGATATGATATATTACGGATATATATATAATAAGGATATATATATATATAGGATATGAATATAAATTATTAAAATATTACAAAACATTAATTTCTAGCCTACATGAATTTAAAAACCACTGCCTTACTTTCTTCATCTCGGGAGGCTTTTTCAGTTCATTCAATTTGCTTTTGTATAATGTTATTATTTTTAGCAGTATTATTTATTACAGTATAACCATATTTACATTTGTTTTATTAAAAACAAGCTTAGATTTGTCCACCTGTCAGGTTTTAGACCATATGGGGCATAGCAGGTGTATTTGGAAATAACTCAGTATTTTGACCACACTTTGTTATTATTTTTCATTTATTTGTTTGCTGGAAATTAGAACTAAATTTAGAAATAGTTTTGAAACGAATCTTTGCGCTTAACAAACGAAATTAATTATTTATAGGCTAATTGATGTTTGTGCGGTAAGGTTTCCCAATCCATGAGAGCAAAAGTGAAAGTGAACTTACTTTACGTCATGTTAATAGCAATGCGCTTATGGAGCCCAAAATATTGCTGATCGTCTTCTGATCATTTTCTACCAAGGCATTATAAAGGTCTGGGTAGATCAGATGGTAAGCAGGCAAATCCAGAAATCAGTTCTTAGAATAAAGATCTGCACAACTTCGCCAAGGGCCAAATTGTATATTTCAGAAATGGTAAATGTTATTTCTGAAAAGGGTTGAGGATACACTGTAGGATGATGACAAACAAAATGTTCTACTGAGAAACTTTATGGACATTCCTGTGGACTTTTTTCATACCAATGATGTTCCCTGGTGGGCTCTTTCGGCAGGATAATGAACACTGACAGACTGCATTGTTCCGTAATGATTTAAAGAACTGAGTTCAAGATGTTCCTCTGGCCTCCAAATTCCCAAGATCTCAATCCAATTAAAGGCTTAGTGCAACCAGAAAAATTAATTCTGTCAATAATTGCACCTCTTAAAATCGTTCCAAACCCCTGAGGCTTTTGTTCATCTTCAAAACACAAATTGTTTTAGATTATACCTGTGAGCTCCATTATTATTCTTGGACGGCAAAGGTCCCAAGAAGTTCAAAGTCCAGAAAAATACCAAACAACATCCCTAAAACCATCCATGTGTTGATTGGTGGTTCAATTGGAATATTATGAAGCTACATTTCTGTTCTTGTAGAGTCCATAAGTCAGTGTGTCTGTGATTTATTTTTTGGCATTACATAGAAGGCAAACAGCATAGTTTCTAACTGGATCTGTAAATACATAAACAAATACAAACACACAAATATGTATGTGTTTTTTTGCAACTGGTTGTTAATATGCACCAATGTTAGTGACCTGGGGACAATTTCAAAGAGGCTGTTTAACCAACTCGGTGTTAAAAACTGAACTCTAAGTTGAGTTACTTTGAGATAGGAAGCTTTGAGCTTTTGGTTTGAGATCAGCTCAAAGTACAGATTAGATGGTTCAGTCAACTCTGAGTACATGCACTACGACTATTGAAAGCCATGATCAATGGAGCTCCAATATTACATTTGACCATGGCAATGGCACTCAACAAAATCACATCTGCGTACTTCAGAGTCAATACAAGTTTAATTCTTATCACTGTTATAATTTCACAGGTGAAAACTGGCAGATTGGTAGGATATTGACAATTAGGCTACATTCATTTTCATGGTATCAAACTGATCAAAAATAGACAGATTAGTAATTAGTAATTAGATTAGTAGTCTGCCAATGGTTAGCCAGCAGAGTAAGACAAATAAGGCTGCAGGCATTAAATTAGCATACTTTCTTATCAATAGTGTGTGAATGATTATATTTATTAAAATTATACAGAGATCTAAGAACAAGGGGCCTTTACCACAAAGCCAGTCAAGTTTCAGTTTTGCACCAATTATGGGTTTTAGGGTGCTTTCACGCCTGTGAATCGATTCAGTTGTTCCGAAACAGAGATTAAAATTGTTACATTGTTGCTCTTTGCTCTTGGAGCAGTTCGCTTTCACACTGCAAAGTTTCTAATCGGACCAAAAGAGCTAAAACAAGTCTCGTGCGAGTAAACTCTCCTTACATTGGTCAGAGTGTCAGGGTTTATTTTGCAGCGTCCAGTTCAGCTGTCAGGAGAGGTGGTGGTTTGGTGGTGATTGACAGGGTGCGCGCGTGACGTGTCTGAGGAGAGATGTGGTGGGGAGGGGTGAGAAGGGTGCGCGACGATGCCTATTTGAGGACTGGGAGAGAGACGCGAGATTACCGGGAGATCATCACTCGTTTGCGGGCATCCGGAGACTTGCGAAACTTCCCGCCCTACTCATAATTCTCTCTTCATATAGCCGTAAGCCTATTACATATCCATAAAACACTGTGATATAACCGCGCTCGGATCGAATCGCTTTCTCACTGCAATGTAACCGCTCCAGGGTTCGTTTCAATCGAGCCGAGACCACCTCATTCAAGCGATCTCGGAGCGATTACTTTGGCGCGGAACAGAGCGCGATTGCCCTGTTCACATATGCCAATCGAACCGCGCTAACTGGGCAAACGAGATACGTTCCGAAACAAAAGTGTAGGTGTGAAAGCACCCTTAGGTACCATGAAGGTAGCTCAGCTCATCTGCTTAATAATACCATGGCAACAAAGAGTGAATAAAGTCGAGCTGCCTTCATGTTACCTAAAACCCAAGATTGATGCAAAATAAACAGAAATGTAACTTGCTAACCAGCAAATCCAGCTACATGATACAGGCCCTAGATTAGCTTCATAGAAAGTTACCATGTGTAACGGAGGCCAGCTAGTGAAGTGCTGTGCAAGTAAACCTCACTCCTCTGACCTCTAAAGGTGCTCTAACGACAGACGCTATAGGCCATGGTCTTTAGCCTCCTTGTTAGAGCAACCAACTCCTATGCAGAAGGTAGACAGTTCGATCCCAGCTCAGAGCGGGTTGGGTGGTTTAGGACCGGTGGGGTTACACATGGTGAGTATTAATCACCTCCTTTTTAGATATGTGCTTGACTAACCCTCTCAGGTTTGACATACCTCCCATTCTGAAAACAAAACAAAACTATAGTTTCCCAATCAATTCAGGGTTGATATACTTAGAGTTCACTTAACCTCCTTTCTGAAACAGACCTCAGATCCATGGTTTTGGTTTTGAAAGATGAGGGGGCAAACAAAATGACAGCATGTTCATGTTTATTGTGCTGACAGCCAAACATCTTTACAAAATTACCCAGTTTGGAGAAAAGATTCTGTAGTTAGCACAGCAACCCGAATACTAACTGCAAAACAGATAGAACCAAGACAAAAAAGCTCCCAACATAATGATTACACGTTGAGTACTAATTATCATATACAACACATAACCTCAATAACGTGAGATCAAACTAACAATGTATTTGTGCATAAATATAGTACTGGCTCATAAAATCCCAGCCACCATTCTCGTTTCAACTGGCAGTCATCTATTTGCTATTAACAGGAGCTGTTTAAAGGTTTAATAAATGACATCCTGTGTTCACCTTGCCTGCATGCAAAATCCACACAACATAGGAATGTGAAGCATAACATCACTTCAACTCACCGTGCTTGATGTGAATCAAAACATTCAATCAAGTTTTCATTATTTTAAGAGCTACGCAATGTTATTTAGTCAGTGCTGCGAAAGAGGTCTTTGTTGTCCTGCGATTCAGCTTCAGTTTTTCAGGCTGTTAGTAGTGCGCACTTTAGTTCAATTCCAAATCCCTCCCAAATTAGAGTCATTTGGTCAAAAATATAAAATAAAACTGAGAAAAAACAAATATCTGGCAGCAATCGCAAAAATAAGAATGGTCCAGATTTTCTTTAGTAATTCAGGAACTCATTGGTTCGCTCACCCCAATATGAAAATTCCGTCATCGTTTATTTCATACCCATAAGACATCAAAATACAAGACAACAAATGAAGATATTTTTTTTAAAAATCTGAGCGATTTCTTTCCCTCAAGTGAAAAACACTTCACCCAAATCTACTTTTCCATAAGAATAAACTGGTATAACTCAAGTTTTTTGTAGAGATATAATCACTTACTCACCATAGAGTGGTTCCAAACTTTTATGAGCATTTGAAGAAAGCTGAAAACTATTACCATTGACTTCCATAGCAGGAAAAACAAATACTATTTAGGTCAATGGTTACAAGTTTCCAGCTTTCTTTAAAATACCTTCTTTTCTGTTCAACAGAAGAAAGAAACTAATTAAGGTTTGAAACAAGTATGAGTTAATGCCCAAATGTTCATTTTTGGTGAACTATGTCTTAAATGTATGCTGTTCAAATCTGGTCATGGAAGCTGAAACATGTTTACCTGATGTGCAAAGCCAATGAGGTTCATTCTTTCAGGTCATATTTGAGCTTCAACCTCGATCAATGATTTTGTGAATGACACCCTAAATAATACCAGTTCGTAATATAAAGTAACTGTGTCTCTTTTGTTATGTTTTGTTACTTCTTTTATTGCTGAGTTTATGCGTCTTTACAACCGTTAGTTTTTAAAGGGGGAGAGAAATCCCTCCTCTGATTTTATTGAAAATATCTTGATTGTGTTTGATGTCTTGCATGTTTGGAAAGGCGTGAGGGTGAGTAAACGATGACAGAACTGTCACC